CGTTCTTCGGGTTCGTCGTTCGTCTTTCAACGACATTCCCGCGCCAGAATCCGGGTGAAAGGAGCATTTTCATACTGACGCGCCGCGCAACACGTTGAAAATCCCCGCCGCCGCGCCACCGCGCCGCCGGCGCGATGCCGATTATTACTCACGAGAACGATCAGTAAAATCTCAGACAACCCGGAGCGCGCTTCGAAGATGACGACGACGACCGTCTGATTTTTTACGCCGATGATTACCGTAGGTTGACTGGAGGAATTAAATTAATTAGAAGAGTTATCCTGGACCCTCCTGTCTTTCTCATGTCGGGCCAAAGTAGTTCGCGCCAAAGGACCAACTTAGCACCCGCTCGCTCGGCGCGAGATATGGAGGAGATAAAATTTATTAAACGAAAGGAGAACCTGCAATTTCCTTCCTTTCTTTCCCCTCGTTTACCTCCTCGCCGCAGACTTCGACCTGGATCGTTCGAGAGAAATTGTGCCCGCGGCGAGGGCGGATTCCCGTCGACTTAATGGAACTTTTATTTTTCGTTTTCTGGACCCGTCGCACGTCGCCCGATCGATCGGGGCGATAATTTAAGGCAGCATACCGAACCGTCCGTGACGAGCATACCGCGACGTAGGCACTGGTCCGGGCGAGTTGGTCTTTTTAATTTTAAGGCGACAACGCGAACGCCGCCCGGCGCCGTTTATCGTCTTTTTTAATTTAACGAACGTGCGTTTATTATGTTGCAAAATATCGTTAATAAGCGTAGCAATCCTCAGGAAGAAACGCAATTCTTTTTATCGTCTGGAGTAACGTTAATTTGATGAACAGTCGTGTAATTTTTTTTTTCTTAATTATTGCACGGAATAATTAAAAGGAGTTACCGTTCGGAAATATTTTGACTTTAATCCTAGACTCGTCGAAATGAATGCAGATAGAGAGAGAGAGAGAGGCACCGATGAAAAGAAAAAAAAAGGTATTTTGATAAGATTAAGCGATTTAGTGGAGTAAAAAAGCTGAAGGACGTGTATTTTTAGACGTTACTTGGTTAACGGTGCCATAAATATCAATAACCGAGACGGCATTATGCCTTGAGAATTAATTAATGGAACCGATCATTTCGAAATGGAAAGTCTCTCGATAGTTCCTTAAGAATTTTACCCTGGATGAGGCGCACACAATGCGTGAGAAGTGTAACGAAGAAACGCTAAAACCGGTTTTTCATGACCGGGATCAAGTTAAATAAGATCGAACACAATCTTTCTCCGTCCTTTTAAGGATTCTTCAATTACCAAAGAGACATCGATCGTGAAATATAGCCAATATGACTGACGATATAAACGTTCTTGTTAAGGGATTACAAGTTCAGGAGACTGAGATTGACTTTTCACGTGTCTGCATGTAATTAGGAAGAAAAATGAGTTAGCATCATTAATATGAGAAAGATATCGTCAACTACGTTCCTTACCGTCAGGAGATATTAATCTTTATTATTTATTACTTGCTTCTCGTATGTTCCGAGAGGCACAAAAAGTGAAGGAAGGAAAGCTGTATGGATCCAAAAAGATTATATTGTCGCATGTTGCTTATATATATATATCAGAAATGTGTATGCAGTTTTGAAAAATAAACATGTACACACATGCGGCGTTAATCAATACTAGTATTTTAGAACGTATAGAAAGTAGACGCAGATAACGTTTTATGCTGTTAAATTTCAAAACGACTCCTGCTATCGAAACGAGACGTTAACGGACGAGACATTAACGGACGCTTTCTAGCTAGAAGCCATAAAGGATTCTTCTTGAGCTGGGATTCCCACGAGCCAAAGAGTACACGTTGTTTATTTGGAAGGAAAAATTTTCCCCTGACGGAACTTTCGTCTGCGTAAAACTCAAGCCGACTATTGAATATTGAAATTTGCGAAAGACGCGCCAGGCGATCGTCCTCGGCGTACCTATTTTTCTGAAGTATTGTATGCAAATTGCGCGCGCAAGTTGCGAGGTACGTGCGGCGTTTACACGTGTGCACCTCGCTTTAGTTTCTAAGACACACCAGGTGTAAGCTGAAGTAAGTCGGTAGCTCTTTATCCGGGCCGAACATTATTATTGTCCCGGGGACACCGCGACGAGAATGCGAGGCGCGCTCTTGTGCAGCGACGCCAGCCAGCGTGCAGAAAAGAAGGTGTGTATATCAATGTGTTTTCAGTTGAATTCTTGCCGAGTCAAGGGAGCACCGAGTCTCCCGCCCGTCGTCGGCGGCGTGGCGTTTTCAGTCGATCTCGATGCGCGTTCGATATCAACCGGCGGAGGAGGGTATCCGCGATAATAACGCGACTGCCGCAACTGTCGGGAGAGACTCGAGGGGCACTATATTGTTTCGCGGTAAGTCCAAAGAATATACGAGTCAAATTGCTCAAATTGTGTTAAGTCAAGCGAGAAGTCAAAGAATCGTATACGACTGGTCTTTCGTGCTGCAACAAAAGAGAATACGAGCGAGCCGTTCAGAGATCGTCTCAACGAGGTTGCCTTGTCTTCGGAAACTAACTCATTTTGTCGGATTTAACTGAGCTTTTGCTGAAAGTAACGTGAAAAACACTCGCACTGTCGCGCGAGAGAGCGATAATGAAATAACAGAGTGCCGCGAAGCGTATCTCGGCGGAGATACCAAGGTATATGTATACATTTATGCGTTGGCGAACATAGTCGCGTTATCGCGTTATTATATGTATATACTTATCTATTCCGCGCTTGACATATATTAGACACGATCCGCCGGCGAGATATCAATTTTCGTTGAATCGGCATTTCGGGCGAAACGATTTATCTTATTATGATGCGATACCGGGATTATTACGTCACGGAAGACCCGCGCAGTGCCGCGCGCGCGTTCGCGTGACACGGGTGCTTCTGCGTGCGACATCATCGTTACAGGCGTAATCGTCCGGTTCATCATTCGCTCGCTCGCCCGCTCGTTCGTTAGTTCTGACGTAAGAACGCATTGTTCTCACCTCGGCGTAACTCAAGCTAAACGTAGAACGCACTCGTGCATTTTCCCTCGTTTGTCGGCCGGAGCGCGGCGCGAAAGGCAGAGGAAAAACGAGAACAAAATTCAGTCGGAGACGAGAGAGACAGACAGTAAGAGAGAGACAGAGGGGAGGGAAGAAGGGGGGATAAAGAGAAGAAAAGGACGCGGCGGTGCCGGAGAGAAGGTGAAGGTGGCTCGCCCGTACAAATGTGGAAGAAGGTAGCGGCGTGGAAAAGGTGGAAGAGGGGCCTTGACCGATGCGTGATCATCGGCTGTGGACAACGAACGGACGTTCCGTGCAACGTTCGACCGATTCACAGCCGGGCAGGAATGCTCCTCCTTGCCTGTACCGTTATGTCGCGAAACGCCTCGGCCGGACGATCTATCGGCGGCGATCTAGAAAGCAAGCGCGACGAAAGTGTTCCGGTTAGGAAGCGAAATCCTGATCGATCCCTCCGTCCGCCGCCGCGCCCCGACGACGACGACGACGCCGCGTCTTTCTCGCCGCGTTTTGCGGGAGCGTCGCTCGATGAGAAAACGCGAGGCATACAAACTGATACTCTTCCTCGATTCGTTTCTATTTTTCTCTTCTTTTTTTTTTGCAATTGTCGTGCGCAACCAGCGTGGCGACACGTTTTGTAGCGTCGCGCAACTCACGCCGTTTCGCGGCCAGGAGTTTCGTGGCTTTAAAGATAACAGTTTTTTTTTTCGGATCTTTCGGTTCGTCGGGAACCGGTTCGGAGGAGGAGCCACGAAACTCCGATAGGAGTCACTTACGGATTGCAACAATATTAAGAACGCATTTTTACGGCGTAGGACAGAAAACTGCTTAATATGAAATCCAAGTAAATAAAATTAAATGTAATTCGTATTTAACTCTTGTGCTCAATGATTAAATTATACGAGACAAAAATCGCCGGTTTGTTTTTCAATCCGCTTCTTTGATCAACCTCGAGATAATTCGAAAATAATTGATGAAGAACGTTTCTTAAATTTTTCTGAGTTTGCATATTTTTGTGATCAATTTTTAAATTAAGATTTAAAGTAAAGTGTCCCTAAAGTTTTTTCTAAAAATTACGAGAAATATTTTCCTTGAAAATTTAGTTTGTGTTAAGAAGCTTCTTATTTTCGATCGCAGTAATTAATTGAAAATCATAAATGTTCCGACATCTCTCCATCAGTCAAGAAAAATCAATTTCAAAACAGCTGAAAGATTTGCTCGACACTTTTGTAGATAATTATTATACGCCTCAGAATAATAATTAAGTTAAAACTGTCACGCGCAAAAATAACATTCGGAAGAGATGCACGATACGTTTGGGTAGCCAACAATTTATTTACAGCGACGATAAGTGCGCAACAGGTTTCCACACACATTTTGCGGAAGTTGCGCTGTTGCATAACGCCAAGTGTCACACTTCCTGGTAATGTAAAAAAAAATAATAATAAGAGGAAAAAAGAGAGAAAGAGAAAGACATAAAATAACAAATGCCGTCCGTCGAAAGGAAAAGTCTAATGAAACCAGCAACCAGTCGCACGTGACATGATAAGGATTACAAGATCGACGTATCCTTAATCCGGGAGAACTTGAAGGATCGAATCGGGGAAGAGATTAGAATGGATACCGCGAGACGCGCGCGCGAATGTTCGCTCCGACTTTAAATGAGTTCGATTTGCGAATTCTTCGAAGAAGGAACTCTCTTTTTCGGTTTTTCGGGCTGGGTAATCGGCTGGGCGAGCGCGCGTCCGGGCGCATATTCGGAGCATATTCAGAGCGCGAGAGAGCAGGTGGAAGCGGTTCTGGAGCAGGAACTGGTTTGGTGGGAGCCGCGAGGTGGTCCGCGCGCGGTGGTACCTCTCGGTGTACGGCCGGCACGCCGCCGCCGCCGCCGTGGCCGCGCGCCGCTCTCGGTATACGCTGGCACGTTGTCGCACGAGTATATTCATGCCAGTGGCGGGAGTCCCCGAGGGAAGCCGGTGGGGCCTCCTCGCTCACTTCGCCGACAAGTGATCGTTTACAGTTATAGTCAGTCCGCATTGGGCGCTCGGCCGGCCCTGACTTGTGTATCGGCACACGCGTAAGCCTGCGATAAAGTATCGCTGCTTCCCGACTCTTTTTTTCGGATACGCGCGCCTCGCCGAAGCCTCTTCCTCCCTTTCTCTCGCCCTTTCCCACAAGACGAGAGCTCGCAATCCGAGTGCCGAGTAACGAGTGAGATTCCGGGTTCTTCTACCTCTCCTTTCCCGCCCCTGTCCCCTCCCCCTCCCGTCGTATCGACGTTTTTCTAAATTTCCATATCGTCATCGCCGATAATCGTCATCGACGCGTCGGTGACGACGTTTGCCGCTTCCGAAGTTTGAAATTGACAGCGGCGAACTGGCATCACCAGGGACGATTATATTGATAACCGTCGAAGGCAGAGAGCGGGCTTCGCGGGCCTAAGTAACGAACGATGATTTAAGTGGCAAGATCAAAGTGAGTGTCGTGTGAAAGGAAAAGTGTGCGGGACGCGTTCGGCGGCGAAAAGCGCGCTTAGTGCCTGGACGACGCCAGAGTTTCAGTGAGCGTGCAACTCGCCGTGCACTTACACGGGGCACTGATGGAGAATAATCGACCGGCGAGGTAAATACATTTTTACATTCGTGACACGACGACGACAACGACGACGACGATGACGACGGCGACGACGACGACGACGACGAAGCGAGCGAGAAGCGTACACGTCCGCACTTTTGCGCCCGCCTCGGAATGCGGCCGCTCGCGATCCGGAACCGCAACGTTCTTCCGACGACGTCAATCGACGGGGCCTCGTTTGCGGACTGTGGAGAGCTTTCTAACGCGCGCGCGCGCGTGCGATCTCTATGTAAAAAGAGAGAGAGAAAAAAAAATACAAATTAATAGCAGCAGCGATACAATCGCGCGATTTCCATGGCGCTTTTCTCAGCGCCACGTGTTTTCCGCTCGTTCTGAACGGATTTAAGACCGAGATAAATTCGAATTCACAGTGACAGATTTAAATTACTTAGAAAAATGATCGCGCTTATCGAGGAAAGCGTTCGATAGATTTCGGTTTCATTTTTTCTTGGACCCGAAGGAAAACCCGAACCCACAGATTACTCCGGACTGACGCTCGCGTAGCGAGGCCGCGTGGCGGATACGGTACCCGGCCGTAAATCATAACGTGGCACTCGAAGGTTATCGTTCGGCGTTAATTGTCGAAGAGAGAGAGATCGTTCCGATCGTAATGCATAACGAGCAGCGTCTTCAACAACACGAGTTCGGGCTTGATGATACGCCATGCCGCGTCAAAGTCAAAATTTACCAGAAAATTGAAACGCGAGATCGAAACATTTCCTGCCGCTGTTTACGTCGCCCTTGACACTTTATCCGATAAGCGGATACTTTTCTCTTGGCACGTCAAGAGCACCGACTATATCTGCGCTGATAATAAAAGCAAATTAATGCTCGATAATACGAATAAATGGCAATCAAAATGGCGTGCTGTTTTCGAACGGTCTCCAACAAAAACATTTCGATAAGAGTATACTGAGAATATTTAATTTAATATAGTTTCACCACATGTTCATATATACGCAAGTTGCAGGCTATTAAAACTCCTTATCGAAATGTTTATATAATTCTATATATATATATATATATATATTATTCAATATATTTCGATATATTATATATAATGATAATACATCATATATATATACCATTACATAATATTCTATGTACTTATAAAATTTTTATGTAAATAATGTATCATGTATTTTATATGTGTATATTTTTATGTAAATAATTTATATCTGTGTGTGTGTGTATATATACATATATGCACATGTATATAACTTATGGAACAGTGCAAAAACGTGCGCCAGAGAGGAGAGGCAACGTTTAGCGTTACGATAAGTTGTTGCAGCAGTGTTATCAATATCGGATACGACCGTGCTATTAAAAGATAGAGAAAACGACTTTGTTATTATGCAGCGTGTTCTCGTGAAGTTCACGTACGTATATACTATATATATATCACCGGCGCGATACGAAATTGCCCTGAAAATTGCGCCTCGTGTATTACCTCCTCGCGCAAAATATTTCGCCATTCTGCCGATTGCAGGTCGATTTGGCATGCTTTGCTGGCAATAAACGCGTGCGTTAACACAATGCGAGCGTGCATGTTTCACGAATCGAATATGTGCGTGGGACTGCAAATTTTCGCTACCGACGCACTCTCGCTTGGCAATTAATTCAAGATACATTCCTCCAAACGAATAACGTTCGTCGCGACTATACGTGCTGTGCGAGAGAAACTTGGCGTGAACCTTGCGTTAATTTATAACATTATATCAATTCGATGTGAAGGATATATATATATTTCAGTAAATAAAATAAACAATGTGTCGAAATGCAAGGAAATGTATTGATGTAACTCATGCATATTGATGCAATTTCGTAATTTATATTTTCGAAAAATATTGATGCGGGGAAAGCACGCGGACGGATTCCTCTTTCGGCGTGTTTCAAAATTAAGGAGCCGACGGGAAAAAAAATTCGGCAGGAATTCCTTCGAGAGGCATCGGGAGACTCGAAAAATCGAAAGCTAATGATTCCCGATAATATCGTGCATTATGCAACGCCGCTGTATTGCTCAATCTCTCATAGGCAGCCCGGTTCTCCGGCTGCGTTACTGTTCGTGCGTTTACGCGCGTCAAGGTTTGACGAAATCATAATATCATAAGAGCAATCGCATACGAGCGCTCGATAGCGCGGGAGAAAGTAAGAGCCATGGAGAAGTCCGTGTTTCGCTGCCACCTCAAATCACCGGTCTCGATTCTGACAGACAGGCCGGATTGGCCCAATCTGACGTGTATGTACATACATTCACGTGCGCGCGCGCGCGGTTGCGAGCGGCCGCGGATCGGGAATTCTTGGCATTGAAGAGCGAAGCAGGAAAAACGGGATACCGCGATTCGCGATTATCTTCACCCGCACGCGCGTGTTGACCTCTCTTACTTTCTCCTTCTCTCTCTCCCTCTTCCCTCTTCTCGCCTTACTCGCATTAACCACAGAACCAATTTTTTTTTTTTTTTTTTTTTTTTTTTTCCTCAAGAAACGGCATCAGTCGTGACTTATAGTCTGGTAGTCGAGTATTTCAGAATCGTCGAACGAGACATTAGCGTCAGCATCGGTAATGACGTTTAATCTTGATCGATGGTTCTGGGACTCCTCTTCCTCCCCTCCCCTCCCCTCCCCCGCGATGAATCGTAACGTAGATCGTTGCGTTATACGTCCCGTAAGATGTGGTTTACCACGAACACCGCTCATTATAATGATTCCATATTTTATCCTATTTTTATTTAGCATATTTCATATATACAAATGTTATAAAGTGCATAATAATGCACAACTTCTTCCTTTTCGAAATCTTGAATAACATATTTTATCTTGCGTAAACGTATTTATAGCGAACACTTTGGACGTTGATATACTTGTATCATACAACTTAATCCTTGTCGTATTTTTCGCGTTCAAATAAGTTTAATATGTTGAAAATATTAATTTTCTTAGCTGTATTTCTTTCCTCTCGTCATTTATTCACAGACTTGAATTTATTTTCTTTCGTTTATGAATAATGAATAGGAAGAAACTGTACACGATGCTTGCGTGATGGGAGAGCGTGTTTCCTGCTTTCTTTCCTAGAGTACTGCGCAGGCTTTTTGAAGATAATGCGCTTTGTTGCAGAGGGATCGAGCTGTGATTTTTTATCAGGATAATGCGAAGCCTGGATAGGCTGTCGGGTAGCGACCAAGACTGCGGTGATCGGGAAATGTACATCGACCTGGACGACGCCTCCGTTGACTCGCTTACCGGGAAACGTACTCGCCACCATGTCACGGAGGTATATATATCTCTCTCTATTGTCTTCCCCGTCTCGTTTCTCTTTTTTTTTATCGTACTTCGCTGTGACACGCGTTATCTCGTCCGAGGCTTTTAAAGTTCCGTATAAGCATTTACGCCGAATAAAGAAAAGATATACTCTCGACCCACATAATTCTTTATTATCGTGCTGAATTGATAAAGCTCAGGTTTTTCCGGTGTCATGCGTTTCTCGATTGGCGGCACAACAGATAGTTTACTGTGATGAGACACGAATACGATACGTTTTCAGTGCAATACGATAGACAAGCGAAGGCAGGTTGACCTACGATCGAATTCGGCGAATTGATAGAAATTAAATTTAAAGAGAACCGTGTGTTGGATGTTATACGTGGAACGTCTCATTATCGGTTATCCGAATGTAGCAAATAATTTCTTTTTATCAGTATTATGCAGCAACAAAGAAAATTGCTAGCATTTTATCTATCAGATTTTATCGCTTAGACAAATACTTTCGAAACGCATTCTTCGAAAGGAAGGACAAGAGAGTAGAAAGAATTAAATAAGTTCGTTTCTTGATGAAAATACATAGTACGGCAAGATTTTCATCTAGATTAGATTAGGAAGTACCATTATGTAACATGTTGTCGCGCATTAATATAATCAACTTTGCTTGTGTCGATCGTATTCGGATATAGACGCACCTATGGACATAACACGTCCTTTGAAATACGTTTGTAAGATAATTATTTTTCTTGTAAAAGAAAACGTGACTAAAAATTAATACGAAATTAATTAAAAATTAATAATAAATTCATAATAAATTTAAAAAAATTGAAAATACACTTTTTAAAGTGCCACTAAAGTCAATTCACCGAGAATTTATATATCATAATAAGATATTTATATCGTGTGTCACACATAAAATATAATTAAAGATAATAAAAATGCGCTACTATATAAGATATTTATAAACGTGTTCTTCGAATTGATTCAAAGTCGCGATATCTCAGCATAATTTTCGAATGTAAATTTGTTTCTTCGTGGGAGGCTCTCAAACGGGAGATTCGCCGAGATATCTACGTCGCGAACTATGAAACGCCGTGAACAAATATTTGACGAAGATCTATTCTGTTATGAACCGAAACGAAAACAGGTGGGCGAGGAGAGCGACAGCAGCGGGAGCGAGAGGAGCCCGAAGCAGGCGAAGAGAAGAAATCGCGGCGGCGCGCCGCCGGCCACGAGGAGACGGAAAAGCGGAATTTCCGCGCGCGAGAGGAACCTGAGGAGGCTCGAGAGTAATGAGAGAGAGAGAATGAGAATGCACTCCCTCAACGACGCCTTTGAGGTAACAGTTTATTGCTTCCTCAGGCAGCTTTCGCCTCGCCGCCGCCGCCGTCGCGTCGACGAGAGCGCGACGAACTTTGCTAAAAACTTTCGAAGAACGTTCGAAACTTTCGCTACGGAACATTAAATCACGAAACAATAAGAGTGAAAATAATGAAGTACAATCGATCTTTGTCCCATAAACACGTCAGTCCATGGGATTGTTAAGCGGCAAAATTATTGTTGCATTCGAAATACTTTGACAAATAATTTTTTGAAAAGTATTGCAGTGGAAAAAGTGTTTATGGTTTACTATAATATTTCTTTCTAACGCCTGAAGAAAGGCGATTTATATTTAACACGATTGTATTACGATCATTATCACTTATTACGCGATACGTTGTTGATCGTCGTTGAACGTCAATATGCAAACGTGAAAAAAAATCGATTTATGCGAAAGATAAATGACGACAACTCGCAGCTGCAACTTTATTTGATAAGCAATTTCTACTGACCGGTCATGTAGCGTCGTTAAAAATATACCAAATATTTGATTAGATTGCTAGCCGTCATTTATCGCGACTCGATATGGTAGATAGACTTTCAATCCACTTCTCCCGGTTGTAAATTTCCAGCAATTACGCGAGGTAATACCACACGTAAAAATGGAGAGGAAGCTCAGCAAGATAGAAACGCTCACGTTGGCTAAAAATTATATAATGGCACTGACGAATGTCATATGCGAGATGCGCGGCGAGGAGCAGCCGTACACGTGAGTATCGTTCTAATCTAGTGTTTTGTCAAACCGCGACATAGCGTGAAATAATTGTCCGACATATCAGTATGCATTTTTTTCTCTTAAAAGAGTGATTTTTTTGAGACTTGTGCTTAAAGCATCTTTTTTTAAAATGGGCAATTACTGAGATATTTGAAATATGCAATTAAAACGGTACATTCTGTGTGCGTATTTACGAAAAATACTCTTTTTTTTTTTTTCAGATTTGTCGATGGCGAATGCGGTTCCAGCAGCGGTGACAGTACCGGCCAACTAGAATTGAGCGGGGGCGAACAACCTGACGAATCGTCCCCTGCGTCGATTCACGAGACCAACAACAACAGTCTTCTCCACGAAGATTTAGAACGCAGGATCTAAGAGAATTTCGATCTAAACGACAAGTGTCGAGACACGTACACGCTCACACACAACCACGTACACACGCACACATACACGCACAGACTCTGTGATAAACTATCATGTTAGTGCCTTTCGTAGAGGGACAGCAATCCGCGAACGATTCACCCATTATTCGCCATGGATCTTCGTAGATCGTCGTACGTGTTTTCGAAAAATCCGCGCTGGAATAACGAAGCGATCGATGATTCCGCAAGGACGCAGTGAAGAAGAAACGCGTGAATAGACAATAGAGAGAAGGGAAAACGCGAACAGAAAGAGAAAAATAAGATAGATACAATGAAGTAGAATATAACAGAGTGAATGAAGAGGGGGACGAGACAAGAAAAAGAGAAAGATAGGAAGAGAGTGCGCGTTTTTATATTATACGTAATACACGAGACGTGTCCGATCCTAGCGCATAATCCTTTTCAAAGAGAGATTTCTCGACGAGTCGAGATGTCCATAAAGGAAGTTTCATATAGGAAGCTATTATTTTTATACCTTAATTTTTAACTACCATCATGCTAGAGATATCTTAACAGCCGAATCGCTAAGATATGTACCGTTAATTATATTTCGTCCAAAATGGTTTGAGGTATAATGTGTTGTTACATCCCTTAGTTAAATCCCTGAAAATTTAGCTCGTCGTTAAAACCGCTCAATTCTCATTCCCTTTTAACTCAAGCATTGAGTTATGCGAAACGAAGTCAGGTAGCAAAATTCTTGTTAGTCTACTTCCTTATCTAGGGCTGAAAGATAATGTACTTCTCCAAATATCTAAGTAACGACGTGTTCAGGTAGAATGTGCGTCTCGCTGTACATATAGAAGTAATATTGAGAGAGAAAGAGACAGAGAGTGAGAGAATGAGAGAGAGAGAGAGAGAGAGAGAGAGAGAGAGAAAGAAAGAGAACATATCCAGAAAAATATTTATATCGTACATGTCACATGAAATGTACCGAAAACGGACGGTTGTGCAAATTCACATCGCGAGTTTATCCGTCGATCGTTAAATTAATTTATTCTCTTATCAACATTTTCGACTTTAGTGCAAGATATTATCACGCTATAGTTACGATAATATTACTATTATTACTGTTAATTTTATTCCTATTACTAATACTATTCTGTTACTATATCGCTATACACTATTACTACTTGCAACCATCACTCCTACTATTATTCCTACTACTATAACTATACTATACGACTATCATTCCTATATAGAGTACCATTGTTACATGGTTATTAGAGATATTACATTTTATAATATTTTATTTCGATTAATATTCTATTATTTTAAAATCTTTTTGAAAGATTATTATTACTGTTATTCTTATTACATTATTACCATTATTGTTACTATATTAAATTAATAACACATTATTTTAATGTTTCTCATTGTAATAACGTCATCCGATTGCGTATCACTCACTTTTCTCCGTCCGCGACTTATCTAAAAAGCAAAATACATTTCGATTTTGCATCCGCCAATTTGGTATTAACCAAGCCAAGCAATAACTACATTTATAATCTTTACTGATCATCAATTATATTTCTAGCTGCAAGCTATACGCATAAGTAATAATTGTTTGTTGGCCAATTAGCAATTACAAAACGTAATTAACAAATGTAAAGTTAATTAAATTACATTTGATGATTACCAACAGAGATTTATTACAATTTTACCCATCTCTGCTTCAAAGGTCATTAGTTTTTACGTAAGTAATTTTCGCGTAAAAAGAAAGACGAAGAAGCGTAATAGTGGTATGGTAGGCCTAAAACAGACTAATCAAACTAACAGATAACGATTACGTTGAAATTTATTCACTGTACATTTGCAGCAAATCAAATGCAATTGATTTATTAGTTTCGTAATTATCATAACGTTCATACAGATGCATGTTACTGTTAGTTAGATTAATTATTCAGTCGCAGTTTTACGTCTCGAAGTCATAAGTCGTAAGAAAGTTCACAGTCGATATTACCGCTGTTATTAGTATAACACTTGTCGCCACGTGGCGCGCGCTATTGTCATATCGTTGTTATTATTATTATCATTATCATTGTCAGTCATTATGATGGTAATTGCCATGGTCATTGTCACACACTCACACTCACACACGTGCGCGCGCGTTAATATATTTTATTATTGACATCATTGAGTAGCGTATTATTACGATTCAATATCGTATTCACACGACTCTTTGTATTTATGCGCATGAATCATTTACATAATTAGCTGAAAATGAGACTAAGATTTAATCGTGTTTCCCATGATTCTTTCTAAAAGAATTACACAGTTAAAACCTGGCGGTTAAAATGTTAAGGCTTTAAATGTTTATGAGGACGGCCCCATGAATAATTTGCATGGCACAGCTTCGTTATGTATATTTTTCATATAGATATTCGTATCGTGTTTGAAAAATTTTACACAAGAATACGGAGTGATTAAAAGTTGCTCATTCACATATTATAACTTCTTTCCTAACTGCCTTAAATGGAAATTATTCAAGAGAAAAATGTTTCGCTTTAAGAGATTTATATTGTAATAAAAGCAATTCTATATCTACCGTCCATTTTTTCGAAGATAACAAGACTGCTTTCCTTTTTTTTTTTTTTTAATGACACAGAATAAAACATTGCGATTTTAAAAATTTTGTAATACGCTTTCATTTGCATCAACAAAACAGGAGGTGCTATTTAACAAGATGAGAATAAAGAAGAACATTTCTTTCATTAATTTATTCTTTAACATAGAGATATTTATATTTTACAAGCTTCAGGTAAACTTCAAGAAAATGGAAGAACATACACGCGGTGTTTAATTTTTATTGCTTTTGACGGTATGTATGATAACGGCCACAATTAAAACAAATAGCGTTCCTACCAATCCAAGCACGACTGCCATGAGAATTGTATCGATTGGTGACCACGTATCTTCCTCCTCTCGAGTCCAAGTAACAGATTCAGTCGTGAGCAGGCTGTAAGTGAATACTTGATGCATTATTTAAACGAAATTTTTATGTTAAAGAATACAGTACGCAAGAAGCCAAGTAAAAAATAATCAAATTATAATCAGAGCTGGGCAATACACCTATTTTATCTAAAATATGTGAATCTCTTCTAATCTTTTTAATGAATCTTGCAATATTCATTTCAATATTACTGAATCTTTTAATATTCATTCATTTAAATACATTGAAATAAAAAATACTAAAAACTTCTGCTGTGATATTTAAATCGTTTGCATTATTCAATTTGCTTCAGCATTCAGATACACCCTTTTCCTCACCACTTTATATTTTACAGTTAAGATATACGTTACGGGCCGTTTTGCATATTATTTCGTAATATAAAAGGATGTTTTGATCGTGTTTTGCACAGCCCTGACTATAATTAGCAACGTGGAATGCCGACGTGCTGGTTTCCATTTCTTCCTCAGCGAGCCCGTCGAAGGACAGCGTAATAGCATTGTCCAGATCCTTTCCCAGTTGTTTGAAGGCGGTTTTGCCGAGCCAATCGGCTAGATCATTGCGATTCAGCTGTCGAAGTCGATGTATAATCACCGCGTGCGTCTTGCCTCGGCCCTCCCCGGGCGCGCTATTCCAATGGAGCAGTTGACGCAGACATGGGATCTCCTCGTCCACCTTACGCTCTTTTATTTAATCGCGGAAATAACTGAGCGTTAGTCAGATAATACGCATGACTCGTGAATGAAGCGAATCGAATTAACGTGGCGATTAGCAAAAATGTCTCTGATGTGACTTAGGATTATTATAAACTGTAAAAGAGAGCTGACCTGCCGCGGCCAAGTTTTTTGGCAGGTCGTAAGTCGTGTAATGAAGCGCGGCGATCAGTCGCCTGCACTCGAACGGATCCAATCGAGCCGCGAGATACTCCAGTTCGCTGAGATTCACGTCTATCGTACCGCGGACTCTTAAGACGAAAATTGTCGCAATGATCGTAACGTAAATACCGATCGTTCGCATTTTTTCTTCAAACGAGATGTCGCAGGAAGATAGAAAGTCGCGCAGACGAGAACAAAAGACCATCATTCTGCTATCGCATGTGCACGTGTGTTTTTATTTCTCTTTAATTCAGAAAGATGTCTCATTTTTCGTTGCCTCGTTCACTTTATCAATTAACCTTCCTCTCATCGTATCTGCCTCCTCGCCCTCCGTCCCTTTTTCTTCTTCCTGTAACATTTGTAGCAGGGGATCGGTGACGCGTCGTCGTCCAACCTCTCCGGCTCTTTGGGGATGATCGGCGCGGTGACTTCCGTCGTGATGGGTGCCAACTCCGGCGACACGGGTCTCTTCCTCTTTTTCCGCAACTTCTTTCGTCCCTCCTCGATATCGGGAGAGAAGTACTTTCTAAATGTATATTTCACAGACCGATCACTTCTAATATCTCTATTGTGTCTCGAAATTGTGCCCGAGAGAGAAAATATCGCGTCGTAAAATAATACAGTTTTCTCATACTGACTCCTTTTTCCGTCTCCCTGTCAGCTTGTCAACGATTCTCGCACACTTGTTTCTCACGAACAGGGTGCAGCAGCAAGTGCAAAGTATAATCGCGAGTATGATGCCGCCGGCGACGGGTATGGACAAGGAGATCGACCGGCGTCCTAAAAACGCATCGTGCCGGCTGCGAATGTCATTGTGCTCCGGAAAAAAAAAACCTCCGACTCACCTGATAAAATATCGTGAATAGTCGCGTTGGTATTATTCATGCCTCGTTTCGTCAAACATTTTCTGCACCATCTTGCCCTATCGTTTCATCAAATGTTAGTAGAAAACAGTAAGGATAAGCGATTGACATTTCGCGGTTAGGCGAATCGAGATGTATCAACAAATCACGCGCATAACGTATACTTACTTGGCTAACGTCACGTTTTCTTGATATCGCCGCAACGTGAGATATGACCGAACGAAAAATTTTTAACGACGTTATTAAAACGACTGCAGAAAAACAAGATTAAGAGAAAAATTATACATTATAATTATACATTATTATATAATAATATATAATTTATTATTATACATTATAATATATTAGATTGATGTAAATTTATCTGATAAAGTTAAATCCAAAGCTTCAACAAAATCAAGATAAAATTGTAGTCATCGGTACTCTTTTTTTCAATCTAGAAAGAAATTCTTTAATCTTTAGAGAATCTTCGTTTTATTTCCTAGCTTTATTTAATATGGTAAGGACAATTTTTTGGAACTAATTTAACAAGATTTTATTGCCACAACATGAACATATATAATATGTACAAATTTCATCATGATATTGCATTATATTGATCTCGTTAATCACACCTTTCATTTCTCGAAACGCTAATCAATATAAAAGAACAGCGAAATCTTTGTCATGCAAAAAGTTAGTCATATATAAGTTTCGTAAACATCATCTTGCGAAGAACATATCACTGTCATAATCAACTCAACTTTTCGATAGATGTTATCTTCAAAAAGCGATATACAATATATTTGCCACAGATTTGTCGATTACAAATAAAAACTTGCGATTATGGATGAGTATCTCAATCTGTATAGACTTGAGAGATTTTCGAAAAGATCATGTCCAACGTTTTCTTCCAAGCCTCCTGCACCTCTGCTGTATATTGCTTCCCGAATAAGGAAGGGAAGAGATCTAGCATCACCTGTTTCAAATTCTGAAAAATAATTATTACAATTATTATATTTAAGGAAAAAAACGTATATTAAAAATACGGATAGAATTAAGCTAGTAAAATTTTAAAGGTACAAGATTAAAAAATTATCTTGTTTTTAAGAATAATTCTATGAAATTATAGTAGTACAAAAAGCAAAGATTAAGTTATGACCTTAAAGATTCTTTTTTACATCTATAAAAAAGATTTTTATATCTAAGAAGGTAAGCGTTTTTAAAATAAAAAAAATTATATGTCCAGTAAAGTTATATGAAAAGACGGTAGAAAAAAATTTAGAAACAAAATTTTACAAAATATGTCGTTGATATATCATCAAACAAAGAGCGTGCAAGACCAAAAGAGTAGCATTTACTTAAATACTTACCTCAAAGTGTTGCTGCGTTTGTCCGCGAGTCTTGTGTTTCTCGGTAAAATTAATCAAGCTTGCTTCCATCAATTCCGGATCATGCATTTGTTCAATCACTTTGCCAAGCGTCGCTATGACATTGGCACAGTGCGCTTGAAACCTCTTATTTTTCGACAGTTCGTCGAGAGGGGTGTCCTTAAACGACTTAAATTCTTTTTGCGATTCTGGATATTGCTTGAAATAGCTATAAAGAACGTTTTCGAGTTACGTGTCGAATTCACGAGTAAAATGAGATTCTAAGAAAGCGATTAAGATGAAGTCGTTTTAGGGCTGATCCGTCGTTGAAATTGTATGAGATTATGTTATAAAGGCGAAAAATTAGAGAAATCTATTTATACTATGCATCGACTGCAAAGATAAAGATGAGAAACGTAATTCTTCGCAGTTAAGAAGCAGAAGTTATATAACATATGTGTGAGCAACTTAAATGAATTATTTAATAAGTGCGTAGGATCATGAAAGTTACGAACGTTTCTTAGCATATCATGAAAGTTACGAACGTTTCTTAAAGCATATTTTTAAAATATTCTATTATTTTTTTGTTTATAGTTTGATTTTAAAAAAGCCTACGATTTATAACTATATCCCAATCTAAATTTAGACATTATTACAAGACATTGACGTTAATATTTTGCATTCATCATTTATATTATTATTTTACAGTGAAACAATAATGTAGTATAGTATAAAAGATATGTAAAAGATAGATAAATATTTATTTAATATCTTTAATAATGAAGAAGAAAAAAAAGAAGAGAGAAATAATCTATATTAATATAAAATAAAAACTACGAAATAATGGCCAGTTTTAATTGTTTCCCAATGTGTTAATTGTTTTTAATAATACAGAAACTATATAAGAATATATTGAAATGTACCAAGGAAAAATATGAGAATAGAGACATTCTTATATCTTTTCAAGAGTAATAAAAAGGTCAAGTTAGTATTGTAGCTAGCTTTCACACAATAAAATCATAGATTCGCTCGAGCGAATTTGAATGCCTGAATACGATTGTCCAATGCGGAGTGTCAATAAGCATATTAAGCCATTCAAAAGAAGCTAGCGTGCCGTACGAAAATATCTCTTGTTGAACTAGCAACTTGCAATTTTATTTATGACCTCGATCGCCTTAATATGTTAGGTGCCTTAATATATTAGCGATAAAATAATTAAAAAAGTACATGCTATAAGAGATAAAATTTGCAAGTAATAAATAGCTATCGCAAGTCAAATATCAATGCGATATGATGAAATGATGCGAAATGATTGGGGCCGATGTCGCAACGATTTACCCTCGGTGACACCACCTGATAATGAAAGCGGCGGAATGAAATTTTCATAGCGCGCTTTTCTGCCGCATCTTTTGCGACGCATCGCGACGATACGGTGCGCATTAACAAATGCGAATGCGTTTCGACGGGACGTGAGGGTGTTCACGACGAGGCCCGTAGCGCGTGACATGGTTTTTCTATCGTGCACCAGATACGCATCGGCGATTCATTAAATAAATGAATGGCTTGTTAGAATGCGGAAGTTCTTTCCGAGCGAGGAAGCTTCGGTCGCGCCGGGAGAACTTAATTCTACCATATCGTTTGTCGCGTCCGTTGTGACGAGCGATTACATTAAAATCTTTTATCATATATTAAAATCTCTTATTGTTAATGAGTTATGAAAATTGTTATTCTCGTGCCCTCTTGCCGAAAATAGCGTCAGATTTCACCGGGCGCGATTATCTCCCTCGCGATCTTCGCGGGTCTTTATCGAAGTTTCGAGAGTATCTCTGATGTGGGAAGCGCACACGCGTGGAGCGGATGAGAAGAAAAACGGCAATTCACACTCACGCGATGAGAACGGTGACTCCGACCAACACCTCGTCTTTACGAACGATCGCCCATGTGTTATGCACCAGCTTCTTTTGCTTCTCGGTCAGGCCGAGTTTCTCGTCTAACTTATTGTCGTTGCCAATAAAATCGAACAGACTACGTAACAATGCCATGTTCGCTTCAGCGGCCTGCGGGAATAGAGCCTGATCTATGGAAAACAATTGCACCGTTGATCAGATGATTATTCCACAAATGATGGTCAATGGGAGAGACTTAACGTCTCTCGTCGGGAGCAAGTAAAGAAATACACCCGCGGTGTATGCGATATTAATGTTAAGTGTGCGATTAAATGCACAGCAATTTTATACTTTTCTCTTGATGATTGATTAGCTTACAATTTAATCGCATGCAATTAATAATGATGATAAATAAAGGATCAAGATGCAAAAGTGATTTCAAAGAACCAAATATTTTGACGAGTCTATAATTTTGTTGCATTTCAATATTAATTTCTTTATATAATTATTATATATTAAAATATGAAAACTGTATCGAAATGTAGTATAGAAAAACGTGAGAGGATATATCGTCATATTTTTGAAAAAAAAAAAAACGAATACGTTTTCAATATCGAAACGACCGTACTGGTTTTATGCATGCCACATTGAATATAAATTGCTTCGACATACGAACGGCAGTAATCGGGATTCGTGCAATCGCTGAAAGAGAAAAACGTCCTTTTCACTACGTGCCAAACGCGAAACTTGCACGCACATTGAAGTCAAATGTTAAAACGTTGACAAGAATCGAGAATTAAACAAACTGCGACAGACTGATCTCGACAGACTGATTGCACGTTCTTCGAGATCGATCGACTAAAGTTCGCGCGCGAGGCTCACAAATTTTTTGTACGACAAAAAAATGTTCAACAATGAGCTTACAGAGGAAGTGAAAGGATCGATGAATTCGAAGAAGCAGAATCAAGAATGTCGTTCAGGCTGTTATTTGTACGAGCGAAACTCTCGTTTCGACGAGATATCAACTCGGCCTTTCTTTTTCTCTCGATTTCGACTATCACAAAAAACCTAAACCGCTCGTGAATGAAGAGATAGAGAGCGTGAGTTATCTCAACTGTGCTGATACCAGTGGCAGTGCGCGAGGCAGAGAAGCGGAGGGCTGCTGGGTGGCACTGCGCGAGCAACTGTGTGCGGACTGACACGGTGGGGCCCCCGTTTTATCGAGAAATCGTATCAATTACGTTGTAATTCAGTATGATATGTCACGTGCGACGCGTGCTACTGGTGGTCAAGCGGCGACTACTCGACGCTCGCGGCCGGTCTAACTATTTTAAAGTCGTCCCCACTCTCTGCACTTCCCCGAAGATACCCCGATGCTGGAGGAATATTGCGTTACGCGCGCGACGAGATCACGCTTTCCGTAGACGAACTCCGTAAACACGCAACTATCTTTAGAAGTCTCGATTAAACAAATGGCAGGATATATACATTTCGCTGATAACGAGCGGCGTCGAGATCATTCTTTTCGACGACTTTCGTAAATCGGATCCAGCCCAGCGGACGGACGCGCGTCGCGAAATTTGCGCCTCGTCCCCCGATTTAAGAGGACAAAGGTGCGTCTCCATCTGTGCATATTTAGATATAAATGCGTGTAACATTTTTATTTTATGACATAATCTTAGTTGTATTTTTGGAATCTTTAAGATGCCACAATAGTTCGAATGATGTGCATTATTTAAATATCTGAAATGTTATTAAAATATTTATATATTTCTTTTTCAGTGATTTTGCAGCATTTTTCACAAATAGAAAAATTTGTAAACCTAACAAAGAAATTTTTCCCTCATAATTGCTTTTTTTGCAATTGTTTTTTTTAAATAAAACTTAACAGATTAATGTGAGAACAATTAAAAATATATACAGAAGAACGGCATCATTATTTGGCACCTAACCTCAGTTCCGAAATTAATTCATTCCCGGAACGGGAAAACGCTTTAATGAATACAACTAACAGTGGAATTTGACTTTTGCACGTACTTGGTGATGATCGCGCGATTTATATTGCACCGTCGTTGCATCGCTCCAAGTGTGCGGGGGAGTGGGACGATCTCAATGGCCATCGCCGGATACGTAGAAGCGGCGTCGCCGGCACCGTTCGCGCATTGTCGCGTAACGCTGATCGCGCACACCGGTGTGTTTACGTTCCGACGAAACGCGAGACCACGCGAGAGAGATTCCTCGCGCGCGAGAATCTCATTCACCTTCTGGGCGACAACGGAATCGCGGCGAGGAAATGCGGAAGCGCGGATTGTTTTGCGATACCGTTGCAATCCCGCAAGTGTTTTCGTGACTGTCGAGATTCGAAACGTATTGAAGTCATTAGCAATTCCTCGAAATATCGAAGCGGCGGGCCAATCGCGACAGTCGGCCGCGTTCATTCTAATCACCCTTTTCGCGCTCGATACGAACTAAGTATATGTGCATTCAATTTATATATAATCTAATTGTAATATTATGTAAGCATTCGAGATTATTTTAAGTATGATTCTAAAATGAAAATCGATAATTGTATTGTATAACGAGATTCCGAATCCCAAATTATGTATATATATGTAATATATTATAAAAATACATTATTACATAGTTATATGTATTACAAATATATTGAAAACGTATATATTTTATTTGTTTTTTCTTTCTGTATGTAAACAATAAAACTATATCAATATTACAATTCTGCTGGAAACAAATTGGAGAAAACTTGATAAATTAATTGCGAATTGTATTTAGTTGAATCGTTAAAAGAAACGCCGCGAGGCGTCCAATCGTGCGAGTTTGGCGGGTTCAACTATCGAACAGCGGCGTTGCGAAGCAAATTGCGATTCTCGAAGCATCGAAGACGTATGTTTTCTCAGAGGCACGATGTATACATAGCCACATAGGTCACGCTGTCCGCGCCGATCTCCAAACATTCCACAAGTGGTTAGCTGTTTGGGGAGAATAACAAGGAATGGAAAACGCGAATAAATTGCTATTTATCGACTGTGATTTACTTTGTGATTTGTCTGTATATTCACTTCGGTAGAGTCATATTCACTTCTGTATTTCGTCCTGTGATCTTGTGAGGTTAGTAAGTTATTAAACGTGATATTTTAGCTTCTCGTCTGTTACTGACCGCGTGTATTGTATCATTGTAATCTTATTAACGTGTAAAAGATCAAAAAGAATCCTTATGAAGAATGCAGAACTTCCTTTTATTTAGGAAAAATAGCGTTAACCTATATTTGTTTCTAGAATCGTCCATGACGAAAAAATAACACGAATTAAAATGATGATTAAATCGACATATCTCAGACATTTTTCGTTTCAGTATTAACAACGAAAAGTCGTAGATTTCATGAAGGTCATATAGCCAGTAACAATAAGTAATAAACAGTAGCAATAAACTTGTATAGAACTTGTAAATTCAGTAAATGTGAACTTGTAACTGAAGACATATTCCAAAACGTGGCTTTCGTGGCAAAATTGTACTAAAAAGTTATAGTTTACATATGTAAATGTTGCTGAGAGCAACGTTTTGGAGTGTAGCCTTAATGAGTCTTTAATGATCCATCTCAACAGGTTCGATCACAGATAAACCGCAACGATGAATAACGATTTGGTGGACAGTATTCTGAACATGTACAATACACCTGAGGCTCTAAATATAGCCATGCCAGTTCCTTCTTCTCGGAAACCTGTGAAGAGATCCGTGTTCGAGAAAACTGCCAAAAAACCGAGCATAGAGTCAGAAACGGCCTATGTAAAGGAATATGTAAAAAAGGACCAGGAGGATTACTTGAGGGTGATTATTAAGCGCATTATTTAATGACATTACAGTCTGCGTTCCGTTTGTCTTATTCTGTCGCTCTTTCCTGCCACTTTCTTGCAGTTGAGAAGTAAGATGGTCTTCGACAATAACGATTGTATGGACGACGTATCGTCGGTGTCCGGTGGCACGGTAATTCGCAAGGAGGATACCGCTCGACTTTATCGAACGTACAACTTCGCCTACCGGCCCAAGTGCAATTTGCCCATTCTGGCGATGAGAAACAAAATTGTATCCATGATCGCGAGCAATTCTGTCGTTATCATTCGCGGATCCACGGGCTGTGGGAAGACGACGCAGGTGCCACAGTTGATTCTTGACGCCGAGTTCGAGAAGAGGCAGCATTGCAACATCATAGGTGCGTCGCTTGGTTGGATTTGGACTGCATTCTCCAGCAGATTATTCACTTTAATTTTATCGGCATTTTATCAATGTGATACAGATCTTTTGTATTTTTTTTTGTCTGTTAATTTTTTATAGTAACACAGCCGAGACGCATCGCTGCCATGAGCATCGCGAAACGGGTCAGCAGTGAGAGAGATTGGACCGTTGGCACGATTGTGGGGTATCAAATGGGCCTGGTGAAGAACGTGAGCCCCGACACTCGCATAACGTATTGCACGACCGGCGTGCTCTTGAACAAGCTCACGAACAAGAAGCACATGATGGATTACACCCATGTTATACTCGATGAGGTGCACGAACGCGACGAAGATATGGATTTCCTTCTGCTCGTAGTGAGAAAGCTACTGCGCACCAATTCTATGACGGTCAAAGTTGTACTGATGTCCGCGACAATTGACGTGAACAAATTCGCCGCGTATTTCTCGACGCCGGTGGAAGATCAGCTTCTGCCCGCGCCAATCATTGACATACCAAAGGGTAGCCCTTACGAAGTTTCTATATATTACTTAGACGAGTTGGAGAATTTGGGCCTCGTAAGTATATATTTTCTTGCACGATTAAAGCACAACTGTACGTTTCAGTATCCAAGATACGAGCATCCTACCTCAGAGATGGAGGGAAAAGAAATTGCATGTTAACAGGATTCTCTCTATTCTTGAATTGAAGGTTGCCCATTGCTTATTATTTCAAATGTTGTTTCACATCGAATAAAATTTTGCTAATATTTTAATGATGAATTCGATATCATCTCCTCTTACACAACATACAATAAGAATGTTGCTAATAATTTCTCTTTTTTTTTCTGTTTTATTTTTGCGATTGAGAAAAAAGCAATCGTGGCAGATATATTGTCTTTTTTTTTATTTTTTTTATAGATACCAGAAGTAGACATGGAACCAAAATTCACAAGCGCTATGGCGAAATTTTCCGCAAATATTATACATATTTTCGACAGTATTGACAGTAATAATCAAAACGAAAGGTCCGCCGTGCTGGTATTTTTACCGGGATTCGTGGAAATCGAGGAGTTACGTACTCTGCTTCTGTCAGAGAATAACGCGGATGTAAAATGGGATATAATTATCTTACACTCGTTGATCTCGACCGAGGACCAGGAGAATATATTTAAGAAGCCGCCCAAGCATTACCGGCGTATCATACTGTCGACGAACATCGCTGAGAGCAGCATTACTGTGCCCGACGTTAAATACGGTATGCTATAATCAATCGGGATCGAACGATACTTTGTCTGTCGGGCTAATTTTATCTGTGAATCGATAGAGCTACAAGTAATATAATTCTCACTTCTTTTTCTGTTCAGTGATTGATTTTTGCATGACAAAACTTCTCGTCACGGAGAGTTCAACTAATTATCAATGTCTGCAACTGTGTTGGGCAAGCAAATCTAATTGTCAACAACGTGCCGGACGTACGGGCCGCGTGATGGACGGCAGGGTGTACCGAATGGTGCCAAGAGCGTTTTACGAGGTGAGAGTGTGGTGTTTTACATCGAAAACTACTCGATCTTAATGTGTCGCAAAAAAATCTTGGAAATCATACTATCCTGAAAATTACAGAACTACCTGCGCGACGAAGCTCTTCCGGAGATACTCAGGGCCCCGCTCGCGAATGTAATTCTCAAGACAAAACTGCTGGATATGGGCGAGCCGAAAGCCCTCCTCGCCCTTTCTCTGGATCCGCCCAATCTCAGCAATATACAGAACACCATATTGTTACTGAAGGAAGTCGGTGCTTTGTTGAATCGAGGCACGCAAGAAGTCGACGGGGATTTGACGCCCTTGGGTCGCGTAATGGCCAGTCTTCCGTTAGACGTGCGCGTGACGAAGTTGATTATCCTGGGTCATATCTTCGACCTCCTGCCGGACACGATCATCATCGCGGCCTGTATGACCGTGAAGGATATGTTCAACATCGGACTGCACGAATTGGAGTCGACCTATTACGAGAAGCTGCACTGGTCCGCCGGATCCGACAGCGACTGCATAGCCTGCCTGAACGCCTTCAAGGTGTGGCGGAACGATAAGGCGAATCGCCGTATAACCAATCCTTACCAGGAGAAGGAATGGGCGCGACGGAGGAGCCTTCGCGTGAGATCGCTACGCGAGATCGACGCCTTTATAGCCGAGATAACGCACAAGCTGCGCATGTTCGGCATAAGCGAGACGATGGGTCCTGACAAAATCACTTGGGACAACCTCTGCATCGACACGTACTTCGTACTTAAGTTTATAATCGCCGGTGCATTTTATCCCAATTACTTTATCAAATTTCCGTACAACGTGAACGATCACATGAAGGATGTAGAGAAGACGCTGGCTTTCCGCGACCCAACGAACACCGTTATCCTGCAAGGCTGGCCGGCGAACCAGCCTGGGTCGCTGTACTCTAAGAAGATCCAGGAGATCATTGGACAGCATACGAAAAATATCAAAAAGATCGAATGCGACGACGTGACTGTATCCTTCGACGGATCGAGTCGCGTCTACGTCGAATACGAGCCGAAGAGTCGCGCGCCGAGCGACAACACCTTCGTGCGAAGTTGCATCAAGCTGAGGCAGTGTCGGATCCCGATCAGGATAAATCTGCTGAGCCAGATAGACGCTTGCCGCCTAGCCGAGGAGCTCAGGCTCACGACAGATTACGGGAGGCATCTGTTTCAGTCGTCGAATCCGGAGGAACGGCCGGGCAGACGGTACATGTACGACAAGAAGCCGTATCCGAATTTACCGGAATACCACGAATATCCGTCCAAGGTGACGCTGCAGGGCCCGTACTCGCCGGTAGAGGTACACCTGACCCATATGGTGTCCTCGGGAATTAAAAGGGTGTCCGTCGACCCCACATCGGTGAACTCTGTTCTACTCGACACCTGCCCGGACAGTCCGAAGGGAATTTTTCTGGTGACGCAGACCATCGTTCGAGATTCCAAGAATATGTCGCACCTGACTCTACGGAACACAACACTTTTGCCCGCTACACCGTCCGGCCTCACGTCGCTGACCACCTTGATTTTCACACCGTGTATGGAACTGCGACGTAGTCCCCTGGGCACTTATTACACAGGCGCTCTGTGTGGATTGGGATACGATCGCACCACGGGGAAAAGCTTGTTCCCGGGGCACGATCTGGAAATTATATTTGACGTCGATATTGACATGAACGATTTGAAAATGGTACGTTGTTTAATTTTTACATCGTGTTACACGTTTTTATGATGTACATTCGATAAATGTATTCGATCGGAATTTTCTTTCGTTTATATTTATATGAAATCTAAGGTAATTAACATGCGAATCGCATAAAAATTCTGTTGGCAGATTAACAAGTTACGCCACTGGATGAATGTTGCGATGCACTTCAATGTTAGGTCTGAAATTGAAGACGAAGAGAATTATCACGACTTGACTGTAAACTGTCAAAATAAAATTAAAAATGCGTTCAAGGATGTGATATATAAAACCCGTAACAAGCTGGAGCCAGTGCCGACCAGTGATTTTGACAAGTGGAATCGGTACGACGAGACTCTGTTCCTCGTGCCCGCTCGGGAAACTTCGAGGAAAAATAACGTCTATAGCTTGCACAAAGCGTTAGAACTGAACGAGAAGAACAACGAACTCGAACAAATAATCAAGCACCTGTTAGAATTAGAGGTTTTAGCTTACAAGTAAGTGTTATATCGTTAATAATGAATTCTGTTAAATTCGGATCATTCAAAACATGTAAACGTTGTTCTTTATTGATATAACAGTAATATTTTGTACTTTCTGCGCACAGGGACCCGCGTGAGACGTGTATTGAACCTGTTTACTGTAAACTATGCCTAAAAGAAGTAATTGGCATTATCAACCTTCGTGTGCACTTGTGTTCGGAGGAACACACGACGAAACAACGAATGATAGATACCACTGCTGAATTTGGAGATAATCTGCAGAATATCATGGACAAACTGAGGCTGTAATAGAATAAGTAATTTGCGTGAATTTTGCATACAATTATCCTATTTTTTTATTTTGTGACATGACATTTTTTTATTTTTATAAGTTTGTGATATCGCATTTTTTTTTTATTTTTTAAATAAAAGTGAGAGTCATCTTTGTAGATGTAGATAACAGATAAGTACAATGTTGTTATTCATTATATAGCTAGAAGCTCGTGATTACGAGATATAAGAATAAGTAATTACTTTTTCTCGTATTTTTCTTTTCATTCTTCTGTCGCAATTGAGCACATGTTTTTTTTTTTCACAATGGCAAATTAGTTTGATTTATTTGAATTTTTTTGAACATATAAATATAAGTCTTTATGTAACATACATTTGTATTATACATGTATTATACATATGTATATATATGATGTATGTATTATGCACTTGTATTAGATTTCTTTGTCAAATACACAATAAAATTATAATTATAAATTTTACAATTGTATTGTTGGAATTACATTATACATTTTGTATAATAATCTTTAAATTACCGTGACTCGTGCGGGATATGTAAACTGAACATATGTATTCTTTTTTTTGTATTGATACTTGCACTTGATATGTTTGAACTCATTGTTTAACATGCCATAATAGGAAAACGCTGCAAAGCTTTGTCAATTATAGCTGCAAATCGAAACACATTTTTGTCATCTCAAAGCTATTTTCAAAAATATCTACGCATTTACAAGCTGAAAATCCTAAAGATTCTGATTTAACTTCAAACTGACTTAATTTTAAAATTGTATAATATACAATTTTAAAAAGTGAAACAGTATTAAAATGTTTGACTATACATATATATTATTGAAAATAACATAAATAAGGAAATAAAAATTTTGACTAAAATAAATGAGTAAAAAAAAATAAGTACAATTTGTTTTAAACTTGATTTCAAATAACTCTTTACATGTACATTCATCTTGTTTGTATTTTACACAATATACAATTATCGACTAATCATTCCTCGTGAATGGTTCATCGAACGCAGATTGTAATTTATAGATTTCAACACCCCGCACGAGAAAGAATGACGCGTGTTAGAGATTAAAATCCTTCATTGTGAAACATATGATCCTATATTTCTCGTTGAAGGTAGCGAGCACCAGGTTGCGTGTACAGTAGCCTACCGGGTACATTGGCAGCTGCACCACTCACGTAGGTACCGGGAGACGGGGGCGGTGGTGGCGGATACGAACTGGGTGGTTGAGGTGCTCGTACAGGATAACCCGAAGTAATTCCGCCTGTTTTCGCGCCCTACGTTAATGAACAAAAAATGGCAGTTCAGACACGCGCAAATGTTACAATGAGATTTTTGTGATGAATATATTACTGTAATGGACACAAGATTTACAGGATAGTTGCAAAACTTGGCCAAATTCGTTCTCAATTTTGTGAGCTTTCTTGCTTTTTGAAAGACGATATAAAAAGGACATCTCTGAAAAAAATATTGTCTAAACTCGACCTGGGGCGGTTGTTGAATCGGGATAGCTCCACCGTGAACGGTAACGTGATTCGTCGGCCGCAAGTAAAACTTGTCCTCGCCGTAGGCACCCTTGTGCTCCATCGAGTGTAAATTAGTCACATATGCTGCAAAGTATAACTTTTTATTAGTAAATGAATTTTTATAAAATTTTCTTCTTTCATTCTGAATGTTATTAACGTTTTACCATCGCATTTTCTTCTTGTAAAAAAAAAAATTAAGCTATGACAAAGCTATCTTAATATTATAATATTCTTTTTATTTGTAGCGCAATTTTTCCGCTTTTCTTTTCTTTCCTTTAATCTCTCTCGAATTCATTAATTTCGACTTTTGAGCTAATGCGACACGAAAATGAAGTTGAATGATAAAATAAACTGATGTATTACCAGTCTGATGTGTGGCCAGTGGCGCTCTACCGCCCGAGAGATAAACTGGTTTAGCTGATTCCGAGGATTCTCGAGACGGCTGTGAGACTGGCGCCGAGTAACTGTAAACACTCTGGCCTGCGGGCGCCGAATAGAAATTCGATGCGGAGTACTGATTATTCTCTGTCGAATAAGAAGACAAGTAATTAAGACGAGACGATGAAACAAAAAGCGGTAGTAAACGCTCTCGTATTTTGTATTCGCGAAAGCAGAGAAGGGACGCGAAAGAAATAAAATGTTCACTCACTGTTCCAAAGAACTGCCCTAGCATCGCCGGATCTTCTAGCATCCTCAGATTCTACACAAGCACAGATACAAAGCACCAATGTTTTAATGCCATTTTCACCAATTAAAAATGTAAGAAAATTGTAGTATCATCATTTTCTAGACTAATTTATGTGTGTGATATTTGAACTTGTTTTGTTTTCTAAAAATTTTGATTATTGAATATAAATGAATATACAAGAATGTGTGACACTTACTAGGAGGTGGTGGATTATAACTCGGAATAGACGGTGGTGGTTTGTAGCCGTACGCGCTGTGATATGACGCAGTGGGCGGCGGCGACGGAGTGTGAGTCCTTTTCATAGTTCCCTGGAGACAAGAAACAAATGCAAGATTTAGTTAAAAAAAATTTATGTACGTAAAGTATAAAGTATACATTTCGATGAGAAAGTTTCACTTACACTCTGTAATAGATGCGTCGGTGTGCCAACGGCAACCTTGTAGAGAGGACTGCTGCTGCGTGGTAGCGGCAGAAACAATTGCGGATGTACCACCCTTGGACCCGCTGTGGGATACCCTCCTACTGTCGTCGAAACTTCCGAGCAAACGCTGGAGAGCAAGATTTTATCATATACATCTGTTACACGTACGGTATACATTATAATTCCTGTATGCCTCTTGAAAAAAAATTGCGATCCATACTTGGTTTCTTTTATCAGTTGTCGCCTTCTGTCGTCCTCGTTCAGAACCTTCTTCAATTGCAGGAACAACTGATGCTTCTCCGCTTTCAGTTGAGACAGTTCGTTGTCCAAGTTGGAAATCTGTTCCCGCGTCTCGCCTAACGTCATCACGTCTTGCTTCTGCTGGCGTTCCCTCTCCTTGCGTAAACGCTCCTCCTCAGCGTCAGCCTCTTGTTCTGAAATAAAAGAACAAGTAACAAACGCTCGGATAATCTTTATAAACAAGTTTTTTAAAAGGGACTCCGACTGTAGGACATAAACATGTATGAGCACTCTTTTGGAGTTAGAAAGATTAGAACAAAGGAAAGGTCCATACAGATATATATCCATAATGTGCGGAAACTTCAATTGTAAAAGAGAGACAGCAGGTCTCCAAGATCACAGATATTAAGCACCTTGTTTCTTTCGTTGTCGCTCCCTCAAGATATGAATCTTGAGCGCCTGCCACATTTGCTCATTGCGTTGCGGCGGTCCGACTAGTATCGCCGGCATTTTTGACAATACTTGACAATTCCTCGCTGTTCAATGTTGTGTATTTATTGAATTATCAATAAATCAGCCCCTCCATGCTAGTCGTATTAGCGACTAGGAGAGCTTCAGAGTTTCATCCTTATGTCTGATGATTAGATCGATTCCTTCCATTTCGGGGCCCGCGAGCAACTGCAAGGCAAGGATCATAAATTCGTTAGGTTTCCTACATTTTTTCACGACGAGATTTATGTTGGCTGCCCTTTTTGCAATCAGGATAGACAACCGAAATTGACCGAAGATAAATCTCAACATAAATCTCGTGAAATTTCGGAGTGTGCCTACCCTGACTGCGAAAAGGGCAGCCAACATAAATCTCGTCGTGAAATTTCGGAGTGACAAATATATACACACACACACACACACGCTCATAAGTACACACATACAAAGAATCGCATATGCGAAAACATATATAAGATAGATCGAGCACATATGTGAGGCATGTGCGAGAGAGGGGAGACAACATCTGATTTTGTCCTCTCTCTAACATACAGATAACAACCTGCATATTAAAAAAAAAAACACTTGACGTGTCTCAAGTTTTTTAACTTGAGGTGACAATTCGCGCACGATTAGCACGATTATCTCAGTGAGGTTATGATAATTTTTGTAAACAATGAAGACCGAGGTGTATAACGAGATAATGATGACAATTCGTAATTTTCGAGGCCTCTCGAGAGATTGCGCCAAACTAATAAAGGAGAAGTATAACGAGTAAGAATTCCTCTTCTATTAACATGTTTTACATTAAAAGAGATCAAATAGTAAAGTTAAACGGTTTGCCAATTAATTAATTCTCTAGTTTTAAACTAATCCACTCAACGTAATTGTATCATTTCCTTATCTTTAATCAGTGTGGGAATTATTTAAAATACTTGGACTGTAAGATCTTTCGTTTTTACACAGCATCCACCCGAACACGCTGTACAGCATCTTGTCTTTAGAAATACAACAGAAAATGAAAAACAATCATACCAGATTGTTTGGGAACAACAAAAGTTACTATGACAGGTAAATTGGCTTTAATGAGATAATTATAAGCAATTATACAGTATGAGAAAAAAATTATTCTTTAATCTAATTATTTTTATTTCTCTGTCTTTTATAAATTGCAGCTACTTGGAAGCGGTACAGAACGGAGAGCCAATAGGCATTCTGCTAAGGATAGCAAAAGAAATCGACGCTGCACCAGCTTTATTAGCACGTAACATTTTAGAAAAGTATTGCAGCCGCGACAATGCAAATGGTAATATTTAATAATAAATGTGATTAACAGAGTGACAAGCAAAATAATGGACTGAATACATAATGTAAAATTTTATTTTAGTTTCGAAAAATCTAATTTCCAAACTATTTAAGGACACTACACTGATTGATGATAAGGATCTCGCATATGAAATCTATTTGGTAATTAATCTAAGAATTTATATATAATGTTTTCCATAAGAAGTTACACATTTTAGTTTGATTACTGATTTAATTAAGATATAAATTATTAGTCTACATATCTGGAAAGAAAAATGAAAATTTTGAAAAGAGCTCATACAATTTTCTTTTTACAGTGTACAATATACGATGATCTGTATGGACCTATAGCTGATGCAATGGGAATGTAAGTGTCATTATATGTATTAAAACAAACTTTAAATTTGTATTATTTGCTTTTTCAATATTCTAGCCATTTATCAAATAAAATTCTTCGTTTTTCGTATTAAAGAAAATGAAAGAAACTTAGAATTTTTAATTTTTATTAAAAGCCTCGATATTTGTCTTTCTATATTTCTTAATTTTTCTGTGATGTAAAATTATGAAAATGAAAAAATGAATAAGTTAACAAATTTTACAAGAGAGAAATATATTGTTTTAGATGTATAGGACAAGAATATGAAATCAAGCTTCAAGATTGTTTAATACAAAGAAATATTGCATTCCGCAACGAAGAGCACTTGCGACTACGAGGATACGACAAGACTCCGGACATTAAGTTGGAAGTACCGATCGCTGTGAATGGTTACGTGATAAACTGGATCGAATCTAAGGCACGATTCGGTAATATGGACGTTCATCAGAAATATATAAAGGAACAGTTCTTGAGCTATTGGAACAGATTTGGATCTGGACTTGTTATTTATTGGTTCGGATTCCTCGACTGTCTGACCAAATCGACGGAGAAAAAGTTTATTATAATGGACCATTTCCCCGAAAATATTACATACATGGACCCGACTTGTATCAAACCTACGAATAGCACGTGATTCTAATCGATATAATTTTGTTTGTCTATTTTTGTACAGTTATCTTTAAGACAGTGACACACATCTAATACTTGTAAATAGATTTCTATTAGATGATCTAATGGACTAATATTTTGATATTATTCCTGATTGTTATCGAAATGGATCAAGGTATGATTTTGTATTTTCGTATCAATTGTAATTACTATATACAAACCACATAAATATTAATATTTTCTTTATTTTTTTCCCAAAGTTTCGTAAATCTTCCTTTTCGTATCTTAATTATCTAGTTGAATATAATCGAGTAAATGAATTAAATATTACTATCGTATAATTAAACGAATTAAAATCACAGTTAAAAAAATACATATGGCTACAATATAATATACAATATTTATATTACAATCTGTCTTGTAGTGAATCAATTGCACGATGAAGCAAAGCTATTCGACAGCATTATATTTTACAATGTCTCTTAAATTCGAATTCTTGAAACGAAGTTGAACAAGTCATTGAATTTAAATTTATCAGATCTTATCTTTCTTTCTATTTTTATCCGACACTGTATACTTGTCGTAACTTTTCGTTGGGTCATAGGGTTCCCATCTACTCGCCGGAAAAATGTGCTTGTTCCTCTCGTACCATGATCTGAAAAATATATTAGAAAGCACAATAAATTATGAGAAGAAATAAAAACCACGTGAAAGGAATTATACGATCAAACTGTTCCTCTAATGTTAAATACCTAAGCAAGACTTTTCCAGCGTGTGACTCCTCAGTCTCGACAGAAGCATCGTGCATAACTCGAATGTCATCGTGAACGTCAAACGTGAACAACGGCCCGCTCTTCCCTCGCGCCTAATCGCAACGTTATACATATTAAAATAAGACGCCGACATCGTGCTCGATAAACTTTATTGTTTGAACAGCCTTACCTTAGTCACGATAAAATCGTAGAATGTGTAATGATGCGGTAATATAAGATCCTCCTTGACATACATTAACTGATCTGCCATCACCGTTTTGAGCTCACTAAATTCACGCCTCAGGACCTCCAGACATCTCTGAAGAAGCTGATAGATAGAATTACCTGTACACGAAAAAAAGCAGATATTTTAACACACTTATGCAGCAGAATATATATATAATCATGTCGATACTCCAAAAATGACGTAAATCAAAAACATAAAATTCGTCAAAAGTTTTACCTGTGTCACGCATACGGATCAAATATGGAGTATTTTTATAACTTCACAATTTTCTAATCATCAAAGCATATTTACCCTTCTTCATTATAACATTCCGACGATGGCCAGATCCGTCCCAATAACTGAATGTAATTTCAATCTCTTCCTCCTTCAACACATTTTGCTTTGTGGCCCACTCCTGCCTCAATTCCTCCCTAAGTTTGTTCTCCTCCTCCTCCCTTTCCCTATCCGGCAGGAAACTTGTATCTACATCTGGATTCTTTTTGATCTTCTTGATCGCGAGGTCGTTATTACATTGCGCGTCGTTCGATTGCGCCGATTTTTCCGCATCATCTTCACTGGAAATCTCAGCCTGGTCCTCGTCCTCGTCTTCGTCCAAATTGAAGGACAACGCTTGAATCTGCCTCTTCTGTTTGTTCTTCTCCGCCTGTTTCGCCGCCAGCGCCCTTTCCTTCTCCTGCTCCCTTTCTCGTTCCTTCTGAGCGAGCTTCCTCTCGCGTTCCTTCACTATGTTTTCCTGCTTCGCCTTCATCTCGTTCAACGTGACCAGGCCGATCGTGGAAGTCTTCAACTGCTGCTCGACAGCATTGTAATGAGTCGCGAACTTGTTCTCTATGTTATGAATCTTCAGATCATCCTCGATTTTCTTCTTTCGCAGTTCTATCTCTTGCTGCGCGATCTCTCGCTTCTTCATCAGCTGCATCGCACGGCCAGCCTCGCTGGCTGCTCCCTTGTAATGTGCCATGTTTTGCGAGAGCAATCAACTGCTGTTTACAGTGTTTACACAGGTATGGGTGTTCCCTGATGCGCCTCCACCAAATTTATTACAAGAGCCACCAAATCCTGGATAAAAAAATATATTACATTAATACATAATATCTAAAAATTCATTCGTTTTAAAGAACTTAGACTCTAAAGATTTTTATAAAAATTTGTGACACTCTTAGAAAATTGTCACATTCATTCACATAATTTTTATGAAATAATGTACATGGAATATTTACATACAAATATTATTTTCTATTATATGTTACCTGCGGTGCAATTTTTCAAATATTTCGATCAAATTATTTAACACAATAAAATGAATTGGAAAAACGAGAAATCTACAATCTATAGACGCTGCCAAACATCTCCACGCTGAAGTAAGGTTAGGTTCTAGACATGCGCACAGGGCCCTACCGGACGCAAACGTTTAGTACTGAAGACTCTAGAAAACGCTAGTGGAATTTAGTCGCGTCAGAGTGTCAAGTGCTTCTCGATTTCTCTTCTCTTTTGATCGCGTATATATTTTTATTATTTTATAGGATATATAGAGCGTCCTTTTTAGATCCCGTATGGAAAAAAATGGACGGCAACAGGCAAATTTATTAATTTATTGCGTTTGACCTGTTTTGTTTCAATTAAGAAATAATAGAAAACTCAATTTTTTGACAAATATAAAATCATATAAAATCATACAAATAATCTATAAACATTATAAATTATATAATATCTAGTAAATATAAGTATTTCTATAATTATGACTATTGAAATTTATTAGATAAAAAAAAAATTAATGATGTAAACGATGATAGTGCGGTTATCTCGGTCTTGACTTACGAATACCTAGACGCGACACGCGCGTTTAAAAGTATCCACATAGTAACAGGCACGCCTTTCTTATTTACGATAACGCGCGACTCGCGCGAGCTTATCTTATCGTTTTCTCGATCCTCTCTGAGATAAAAAGCCTCCGGCCGAAGCTCCGTTTTCCTTCTGCAACCTCCCTCGCACCTGTCCCGTTGATTTGGTAAGTGCGAACGACTTCCAAAACTTCTCGAAGCTTCGCTCGGTGATTTATTCTCACGACAGCGTTTCGCGATTCCCGAAACGCTCGAAATTCGCTGTAGTATTTTATCGGAGGCGCGCGAATCGAGCTGTTTATTTATACGCGACGTTACATATTACTCCACGCCGCTTTTGCCACCGTCACCGGATGTCTGACATCCGTTCGTAGACTGTCGGCGATGCTCAGTAATATGTCGAGGTCGCGTATTTTCAACGCGTTCAGGTTAATCGCGAGTCGCAGAAGGTCGTGCTCCACGTTGCCGTGCGCCGCGAGGGTCGCTCGCAGGCCGGAATCCGTCCGGGATCCGACCGGCAGATTGTACTCGTGGTGCGTTTACGTTTGACGTGAAATATCTTATCTACGAGATCTCGAGTTATCCTGTTTGAATTATCGTGATAACTTGCGAATAACGTTGTTTTCTTGACCTCAAACATTCAAGATCAAAGTTCGCTTGAACTCATTTGGTATAAATATATATTATATATTAAAAAAAAAGAGAGAGCTTTGATTGTTGTTTACGTCGCTCTTCCATTGTCGTGAATGGACACAAGATCGTCGGTATTCTATTGTGCTGAAAACCAATGAATTGTTATGCCCGTCAAGTGTTTTGACTATATAAATAAATAATTCAGATTTTTAATCTTGTTTGAACTTTTTGTGATCTCAATTAGATTTCATATTATGTTTTGGAATAATATTAATACTGGTCGATTTTTATTGTTTAAGACATATTTATTGATTGTCACAGATAAAGATTTTGCAGGATATTCTAAGCCACATATTTAAGTTGTATAGATATAATTTAGATAGATGATTTTTATAGCGTATATGATTGAATTTCTTTCAGTGTACAACGGCTGTATTCGACAACGATGAGCGTAGACATCACTTTATATACATTACCGAACAATCAACCGGTCGTCGCGCTGGAATGCGACACCGCGTTCAAATCCTTGACGCAGAACGAAAAGTTGTACGCTCATTACTTGAGTCAAGCGGCATGGAACGGAGGATTGATAGTATTGGTACAGACATCGCCGGAATCGCCGCTGATATTTGCGCTGTTACATAAGATCTATCTCGCGGAGCCTATCGACGAATTGAAAGATGCCGCGGTGCGCGCCGGCGTTACCGAGGACGAGTTTACGGTAAGAAGAGTTTCCCTCCTTCGCATATATCTTTTTCTTATTTTTGCAATTTTATTCCTTATTTTTATGTAGATTATTAAATTAGAATTCAATGACGAAATGTGTATTTTTTGTTCTTCAGGCTTTCCTGGTTTACAGTTGCGGGATATTTGCAAACGCAGGCAACTATAAGGCCATGGGCGATACCAAAATTATCCCCAACTTTTCGAAAAATGCATTCGAGACAATAGTGAAAAATTCGAAGGCTTACAAGAATAATTCCAAGGAGATACAGGATATATGGGACAACATATCGACCGCGGTGTACTCCCTGGACGGCAAATTGACATCACTGGGATTGGCCGACAAGGGTATCACAACGTACTTCTCCGCGAACTGCACCAAGGAGGACGCGGACAGGGTCAACGCATTCATGCAGGACAAAGGATTGGAATCCTGTAACGCGAGATGCTTCAAGACGGCGGTGCGAGATCCCGCGAGTAACGCCCACGTCGACGTGTATGAAATCAGACTGGCGTCCATATTGACGGCGGACGATCCTAAAGTCACGCTGCCCGAGGAAACGTTCGGAAATGCCAAGTTCAAGATTACCAGAGGCGACTACGACCAACTCATGGTGCCCGTCGTGGAGAATCTCACGAAAGCCAAGGAGTACGCGTCGAATCAGACCGAGAAAGACATGCTGGAGAAGTACATCCAGCATTTTGTAACGGGCTCTCTGCAGGATCACATGGACGGCTCTCGTCTTTGGATAAAGGACAAAGGGCCGTGCATTGAGACCTACATCGGCTTCATCGAGACGTACCGCGACCCCGCGGGTCAGCGAGGCGAATTCGAGGGCTTCGTGGCGATGGTGAACAGGCAGATGTCCGAGAAATTCGCGACGCTGGTCAACCGAGCCGAGGAATTCATCCCCAAGCTGCCGTGGGACAAGGACTTCGAGAAGGACACGTTCCTGAGGCCGGACTTCACCTCCCTGGACGTTCTGACGTTCGCGGGCTCCAGTATTCCGTCGGGAATCAACATCCCGAATTACGACGAGATCAGACAGTCCGAGGGCTTCAAGAACGTGTCGCTGGGCAACGTTATACCGGCGCACATGAAGGACGTTCGCGCGATCCCGTTCCTGTCCGACGTCGATCAGGAGCTGATGCACAAGTACCGAGTGGACAGCTTCGAGATGCAGGTCGGTCTGCACGAGCTCCTCGGTCACGGCACCGGTAAACTGTTCAAGCAGACGGGAGCGAACACCTACAACTTCGATCGCGACAGCGTGATAAATCCTCTCACCGACGGTAAAATAGACAAGTACTTTTTGAAGGGGGAGACGTACGATTCTAAATTCGGCTCCATGGGATCGTCGTACGAGGAGTGCAGGGCGGAGGCCGTAGGTCTCTACTTGAGCTTGGACGGAGAAGTAGTGAGCATATTCGGCCACGAGGGACAGGTGGCGGAGGACATAGTCTATGTGAACTGGCTGTCGCTGCTGTGGAGCGGCTTCGCGAAGGCCTTCGAGATGTATCAGCCGTCCACGCGTACGTGGTCCCAGGCGCACGCTCAGGCGCGCTACGTCTTGCTCGGCGTGTGCCTGGAGGCGGGCCAGGACTTCGTCAAAGTTGTCGAAACCGAGGGAGGGACGAACCTCCGTATGACCGTCGATCGAAGCAAGATCTTCACGGTCGGCAGGCAGGCCATCGGAGATTTTCTCCTCAAGCTGCAAGTTTACAAGAGTATGGGAGACGTGGAGTCGGCGAAGAAGATGTACGACAGATACAGCGAGGTGCCCGAGAGCGGACCGTACCCGTGGGGCCGCTGGCGAGACATCATCCTCTCTCGCAAGGAGCCAAGGAAGATCTTCGTTCAATCCAATACATTTATCGACGGTTTGTACCATAAGGAGATCTTTATGTATTATTATTATATTCTTTAAACATTTGTATTATTCGTGTGTACACAGTCGTAAACATATTGGTTGCGACACTTTTTTTTTCATAGGTTTTTAATATATATTTAATATATATATATATATATATAATGTATATTTTATAGGCAACTAATATTTTGCAAATGCGAACCACGATGGTGTACTATACTTTAATCTAGAGACAGTACATCAAGTGTACTGCGTGGTCGCATTTGCAAAATATTAGTGCGTTTCGAAACCTATTTTAAAAAAGTGTCGCAACTGATATATCCACGACTGTACGTGCTCGTGTGATTATTTTCATAGATCGTATTTTCATAGATCTAATTTTTTTTTCTATTTGTTTCTAGGCTTTGACTCTAACAACGTGATACTGAAGAACTACGAGCCGTCGTTCACGGGACTTATTCAATCGTGGATAGAGAGATTCCCAAGTGCAGACGTGTCTCAAATATTGATAGACCTCTGGAACAAGGACAAGCATCATTTTGTGTCGGCGAATAATTAAAGAAAAAAAATCTATCCGCCCGACGGTTGAACCGGTTAAAGATTCCGTGTAACTTCCTCGTGTCTGGCCATTTACTGGAACGACCGACGTTGCACGTTCGAAAAGTTTATTTTCTACGCATTTTATTTCTTACACGAAATAGTCGTGATCGTAGTTTCAAGGTTGAATGTGTACATATGGCGTGCGACAATTTTACTTTTTTAAAGCTGTATGACTGCAGTTTGTATTATATATCGTGGTCCATATTCCGATCTGGACGCAATGTCGTTAAATTAATCGTCCTGTCCGAGAATGCGTTCAGATTCCCCACCTGGGTTCCATCCAGATATCATTTATCCTTGTTAAACATTCGGTGAACAAGGATAAAATGATACCTGGGTGAACCCGAGACTCGCGGATAGCTAATTTAATGTCAAGTGTCCGAGATGAGAGAAGGTGCATTTAAAGTTGGGAATATTCCGAGCTTGTGTACGGAATATACAAAGATAACTGATGTATTATATAAGATTTATATATATGCTATATATACAACTTTATAAATACAAGTTGAAACATTTGTAAGTTTACTCCTGTATTATTTAATTATTTTGAATAATATACGAGATAAAACATTAGTAAACATTAGAAGTAAATACAACAAGTAATAATAATTACCGTCATTATCATAATAACGTTATTATCATAATTTACGTTTGTAACTTTACGATAATACGTTACAAATTTATACCTATCTTTAATAAGTTCATTTGAATCGAATGAATCGAAAATGTTCGAGAAACTACTATTTAAACTTTATTTCATACTAGCTTGGACCTTTTCAGATCTTTTTTTCTTTTTCCTCTAAACGCCTGATTAAACATTACTTTTTGAGTGCAAAAAGTGCAACAGAAAACCATATGATCTCGCACATAAGAGAAGGATGTTTATCAGTTCCCGTGGACGTCGCTGCTATCGTCCTTACTGCCTCGTACTGGTACGTAGTTCCCAACTCCGTCTGTGATTCTGTGTATATATATATACCTATATATATATCTATGCTTTAAATCCCCTAAGTTTTGGCGGCAAGAACGGCGTGGAACAACGTGAAGACAAGTACGATACACGCAAGATGGAAAGGAGGGAATCTTTGCGGAATCTGTTCCAAGATTTGGGCTGTAAAGTCGAAAGTGATGCCGTTCTCGATAAATGTAAGCGCACTTTCGAGATTTACTTCGTATTTCCATTTACGATAATGATAATCGTTCCTTGAAATCACGTGTTGTTGATTACTTGCCCGAGTCGCGCGAAACTCGTCGAAAACTCAATTTTCATTGCGTTAATGATAAAATTGCAGCTTTGGATGGTCAAAACGAATGTATCTTTTATTAAACGAGAGCGTTTTATATGCAATGCCGTACGTCGAGACTTTGCTCCGCTTTGTTGTCGCATAACCTCACTTTTGAAACCGAGAGCTCCTTCAGCTTGTATATTTTAATTAAACGTTTAAAAGACATTAAAAAATGCCGATATTATCAACGGCAGTGAATTTCGGTTGTGGTCGAACTTAGTCCTTTATTCTTTTTAATTTTAGTTCTGCAGAAATAGACAAATTGTAGGTTATGAACCGCGATTGAAATTAAACGATACTGAAGTTTGAACTGAAAAGCCTTAAATTTGTGTGTTGTTTGAAATCTGGATCTATCAAAAATATTCATTTCTGTTTCCTAATATTCTCTAAATCGAGAAGCAACCGATCCTTTCGATTGTAATCATGTTTTCTCACTGAGGATCTGTGTGTCACAGGTTTTGAATTCTGCGAGTCTTACGATGTGGACGTGGAGAAGCTCACGGAATTGTGGCTGACTTTTTGCGTCAACAACAACACCGACATCGATCCCACCGTTGACAATCTGATCAAGATGGAACGCGCGATATTGATTAAGGATCGTAAGGTGCGTGACCCGACCACGAAGAGCAGCGTGAAACAGGAACAAAATACAACGGAGAAACGCTTTATCACAAACGAAGCAAGGTATTCTTTAATATTACATAAAATTGTCATCGTTCTGTTCAGACGAGGGGAGTACGATTGATAATTTGAGTTACACGTATAACACCTTACATGTGAATATTACAGTGAAACCGACGACGTACTCAGCATGTATGGCTGCGCCGAAGATGGACTGTCCAAGGTGAGTCTTCACAATTGTTTCTGCTATTAATTTCGTTGTACAAACAAGAATAGTTATATACTTTCAATTAATATATTTTACATGATGTGATTTGACGTGATACATTAAATTGTTAAATTTTAAGGTTCTAAGTTCTGGTTAAAGATAATATACTAACATTCGTGCTTATAATGCAGCGCTTATATAAACTACAACGATTATTTAAATTCGTTTATTCGGAAGATTGAAGATCAAAGAGAGTTTCTGAAAAATGTATGTTTTCGGCAAATTTCTAATTCCAACTTATTTTAAAGTATTCCTTGAATTTAAGTATAAATTCAAGTAACAATTTAAGGTATGAATGAATAACGGACGCGAGACAACGTCGGTAGAATGGTACAAGAATTATCTAGAATTTGAAAATTTATTTTTGAATGTTCAGCAAGGACCTTAGGAGGAGATAGAAATTTCCCTCTTTTCGGAAGACAAAAGGAAATAGTACCTCTTTGACAAAAGAATTTTAGTACTGGTAAATCATAAGTCAAAGTAAATTTCTGAAACAATTTTTTCTTTGAGAAATTTAAGAAAATATCGTTTCGGCAAGCATTTTAGAACTGGTTATCAATCAAGTCAAGGTAAATTTTTATGAAATCTTTTTTATTTTGTTGAGAAATTTTCCCTTTATCAGAGGGATCTTCGAAAGAGTCTTGAGAATGTCATCGTTTTCAGCATGCACATCAGGTATCTGAATAATTTACGCCATTCTACCAACAATTGTCTCTCATTGTTCATGGTGGATCCCCTGCGGTTACAAAGCGTCTCTTGCTTGTACGTAAATGCATTCCGTTCACGATATCGCGCTGCAATTTTCTCTCTTTTCTCGTCGAATCGGAAAGAAGCGAGAATTTTCGAAACTCGCATCTCTGAGCTATCGTAAAGAAAAAGAAGGGTGGGGGGGGAACAGCATCACTACAGGATCTCCCGTCGGTGGAGGCACCGTAATTCCCGCCACAAAAATCGCTCAGGTAGATCACCCCTCTCCCTCTCCTCGCCCCCCTTGCCGCGTACATTCGACTCTCCACACGGACCCCCCTCTCCCTTCCTCTTCGCCGGGGCAGGGAGGGAAGACAACCCGTTTTCATTGGCAGAACGAGGACGAAGAGCGCGCTGTTCCAACGGCACGAGGGAGAGAGGGGGAAGGTTCTTCCTCCTTCTCCCTCCCCTGGTCTCCTTCGGCGAGCCGTCCCCGATCCGAGCCGAGCAGATCTCTTTCGAAGGGCACGATTTCAGTTTTCAAGGACTCCGGCGCGTCGTCGTCGGTTCGTCGCTCGCGTTCTCGCATTTACGTACGTCTCGTCGGTGCGGACGGATCACGGAGGGCGATCCTCGCTCGCTCGCACGGCCCCCCCCGTTCTTTCCCCTCCGCTCGCGTACCGCACGTCGAGCTGGTACGCACCTCGCGATCGTCGTCGTTAACACCCGGGTATCGGCGCGGCGCGGCTCGGCTCGGTGTCTCTCCCGATGGCGTCGGGCAACGCGCGCGCGCGGGCCCGACGCCGCCATCGGCGTCTTGACAAGCGGCGTCTTTTCGCGAGTGAGATTACCCGCGTCCCCTCCCCCTCGCGCGCGGGGGTTGCGTCCTACGCGGCCCAGCGATCGGCTCGCGATCGCGCGGGAAAAGGCCCGCGTCGTCGGCGGCGCGTCGACGGGTCGGCGCCGCCGAGAAGGCTGCTCGCGGCGACGTCGACGATTACGATTACGTGACGGTGTGTGCGAGAGGGAACACGAAGAGAGAAGCGGTAACGTCGCGGCGGCCATGATGGTTCGGTTTCGGCTCGGAGCAAGCCCTCTCGGCGACGACGACGATCCCGCCGATCGCGCGCGTCGATACGCCCGGGTCCTCGCGGAGAGAGGATCGGAGTCGAGTCGGCGGTACTCGCCGGCTGGAAGCGGGAGGATTGCGGAGATGTTCGTCGATCTTGCCGATCTCGTTCTCGCGTCGCGATCGCCCGCGGCGCGCGCGCGCGCGCGCATGCGCGTGCCCGCTCGTGAGAAAAGGCGCCGCGTCGCGCGGACGCGAGTGCGACGACCGTTGGTTTGGCTTCGGCGAATCCTGTTGATTCGCGCCGCTCGCCGCTGCAACCTGTTGCTCCGACAACGAACGTGTAACGGCCGGTGCTCCTCCTCCCGTAAGTCTGTTCTTTGCGGAAGAACGCGCTGCGTTTTTCACTCCAAGGGAAGTAGGTATGTAATTAGACACCTCGGGAAGAGAGAGAGAGAGAGAGAGAGAGAGAGATCGAGTACAAAAGAAAAACCTCGCGATTCCTCCATTTTACTCGGATTTTGTAAGATTGGATTCGAAAATGCAGGGAGATTGGCGTTGAATAATTGAAAGGTGCTTTTGCGACGTAAACAGTACAATTTCTTTTTAATTATCCAACATAATTCAGTGTCGGCGAAAAGTGGGAGTAAAGGGTTTAAATTCTGCCGCCATTAAAGATCGCGAATTTATAACGTTTTCAGTGTTCCGCGTTGCAGCTAATAATTGCAAACGTATTATCTTCGACATTTGTAACTTTTATCGGCGTCAAAATTTGAGTCTGTATTCTCGACGCGAATCCCTTGATGCCGGAATCGTTTTATGTCTCACGCAATCCGTCAAATCTTTTATTTATTATATTAATATTTATCCTCTTAAAATTATCCTTTCTCTCTCTCTCTCTCTCTCTCTCGCTTTTAGGTATAAACTCCGAGAGCAGTTTATGTAAGAAGGAAAACAAGTTTCTCTGGCCTTCTTCTCTCGATTCTTTGGCGATCTTTTTCGATCACTTTGCAGCGTCGAAGGGTCGAAATTTCCCGGCGGACCTTTCACTGGCGGGCACACGGAACGGAACACCCGCCGTGGCGGCGGCGGCGGCAGCAGCGACGGCGGCTTTTGTCGGCTCTCGTTCGCTCGCTGTGTGCACTTTCTCCTCTCCGGATCGGCTCGTCGTGGAATCATCGAGAGGAGAGAGAGAGAGAGACGGCGCGTTCCCACCGATAAGCAACGCGAATAACTCGCGCCTGGCGATATCGCGTTTGACCGACGGGTTCCTCGCTCGCTCGCGCGCGCGCGCCCGTTGGTGTCTCTCCATCAATTAAGCACAATTGAACAACAACTGTTCCAATCTCTTCCCTCGCCCGCACGGCTTTCGGCCCGTCGCGCATTTCTTTCGGTCTCTTCGTCGCCGCGTGACTCGGGCGAGAGACGGATCGATACGTTCGCGGATGCGTTCGAACGCGGATGCCGATCGAGACGGGATGCGCGATTTGTCGGAAGAACGGCGGATCGAGAGATGTGAAGAATAATCGGGACGTTAGAGCGTATTGGAGAGTATTGCAGCGAGAAGAAGAGAGATGACGGTGTTGGACATTAAAACGGTTCTCTTGTTTTTTTTCCCTCCGTAAGTAGCTCCCGCGAATTTGTTTGACTTGGACCTGATCTTTATGTATTGTTCGACAAGTCGGAATTATTTTTTTCTAATGCAAATGTCGATAGATTAGTAACTAGTTCATGCAAATTAAAGAGAAATGATAAAAGAGATAAAGAGAAATGATTAAAGAGAAACGATGGTTAAATTTTATTTCTTATTTGGATTCTGAAAAGATTCGAGTGCTTGTTGTAATTTCTTTTGCGATGAAGCAGCAAATCTATATGTATTTTTCAGAGTACATGTAGTATTTTTAGTACATTAACGTAAGAATAATTCAGCTCAAATAATTAATAGTCACTTTTGTATATAAGAAATAGAAATATTTGTGAAATTCACCTGTATTGAACGCGCAAAGTGTTTTGCTGTTTGTTTCTACATTGACTTTACATTTCAAACGTCTATTTACTAACATGTTTGTCTGTTCATCGGTTAGTTCGTCAATATTGAGAATCTGGATGCCCTCTCACAGATACTCGAGTGTTATTGTATTGTCTTGCCATTGTGGAACGCATAGGAAAGTCAAACTCGGAGACAAACAGAAGTCGGGCGGATTTGTTCGAGTTTTGAGGACCGGTTCTTTCTCGAAAAGTGTTCTTACTTTACATATTCAATCTTGTTTCTCACACTACACGAGGTACGTAGATTTCTTAAATTTTTCTCAGAGTTGTGCTATCTCTCCGTTTTCTGAAATATTCGAGTTTAAGAAAGAATATCTGTGGGTTTCAGGATGTCTGGGTCGCAGTGTCGCTTTTTTTAATTTTTTAACGTGATAACGTAGAAATGAAGGCATGCGGAGAGTACATATAGATGTAGATACAAGTAGACGTATGTTTATATTGGGTTGAATGGAAAGTTTTTTTTTGTACTTATACTAATGTTATCTTTTAGCAAAAGACGGGAATAAACTTTTTATTCAATCCAATATTATTTGAAGAATTTTAAATTTTTACGACGTGTCTTTTGTTTCTCTGTAATAGAATAGTGGGAAGTAACAGCTCGGATTCTATCACTTTTATTTATTGAACATTTACATTCTGCTGAGAGAGTCCGAGTGCACTCGTCGAAAGAGCTCGTTTTTCTTCTCGAAAGTTCTGTGACCTCTGGATTTCCGATTCTCGAAAATTCATTTCGGTACAGGCCTTCGTCATGGGATTCGTTTCTTTGTATCGCTGAATCTTTTGTGCTCTTTATCTTGCCGTCTCCTCTTTCTCTCTTTCTTTCTCTGACGTCCAATTAGATACCTGTTTTATTTTGAGTGCAGAAAGTATAACGTAGCGCAGCTACAAAGAACAGACCTGTGCATCCGACGACGAGAGAGGAAAAAAGAGAGAGAGAGAGAGAGAGAAAGAAAGAGAAGGATGGAACGAGAGGGAACGTGTCACGTGCGAGCGAGCGTACTCGCGCGGCGGTGTGTATGTGCGACGCGCATGCGCCGGAGCTGGAGCGGAGAGCGATTCCGGGCGATCGGCGAGATCGGACGGCGTCGGACGCGGACGAGAAGCGGGACCGTCTCTCTGAACTTGATTGAAACGATGCGTAATACAGGGTGGACGTTAAGAGCGGCCAGGTTAATCGCAGTTAACCTCTGTACAACGGACGCAGGCAACGTCGTTCGCCGTTTCTTCCTCGTAATCGTGCGCGCGTTCGCGTACGCGACAGCCGTTCGCGAGATCAGGTTCCCCGTCTCTTCCTCCCGCATTTCCTGAAGAAAATGCAGAAAAGGGAACCCTCCCCCCCTCCCTCCCTCTCACCCGTGCCCCCGGGGACGATTCTTTTTCGGATTTGCCGAATGAGTGACGGTCTAGTGCACGGTCGATCAAGTTGTGACTAGATCCACACTCATTAAGCACGTTCGAGCATCGCAGCCATTCGTTTTTCGGAGGGAGATCAGGGGGACGTGGTCCCTGAAAGGAGCAGCGTTTACCTCCCTCGAGAGTCTTTCCGACTATTCCTGCACGTGCAGAGTTTTCCACCATGAACAATGACAATAGATCGAGATCCCGTCGCGATTAGAGTTTCTCTCGCGAGCGAGATTCGTCGGGATCGACGGGAATTTATTCGGCGGCGGTATACACTTTAGGAGGCGAAACGAATTATATACCTGGAGACGGAAGAAAGCGAGTAATTCCATAGACGAGTGTGAATGTGGTGCACGTGGCGTATCATTTCGTGACTAGATACATACTCGTCTACGGCAATCTGTCTCGGTATGTCCGAAGCATCTCCAATGTGGGGTGCGCCGAACGTGTGTATCGCCGAGATATATAATCGTTATCAATGTATACCGGTATCAATGTACGTACTTCGTAAGATAAAAAATGCCCTCGCGACAGACTGGCGACGAGAAGTCTCGTTATTCCGCCGTGGAATTTGCGTGAAGTTACACCGTACGATCGTGTGTGTATATATATGCGTATGTTAGGTATAAAGAATGTATGCGGCTTTGTAAAAAGAAAAATTAGATGTGAGAATCTCAGGTTTCCGCCTGTGTGAAAACGTCAATAATAGTAATTATTTTAATAATAGTAGTTTATTGTGTATACCAGACGACAGTGATAATTTGCGGACTAAACAAATATAAATAGAATTCTACACGCGCAAAAGATGAAGCGTTAACAAGATTGTTGCTACGATGCCTCTACTAGAAAATCGAGGAGGAAAATCTGAAAGGAATAATATTCGTAATTTAAAACAGATAGAGTAGAATTTACAACACGGTAAACTGCGACAAACTGCGAGCGCAAATAAATAGAGACGAAGTTATAGATACTATTTTTACAGATATTTAATATTGAGATCTTAAGACCTTGTGGACTATTTACAATATAGTGTGGATTTTAAAACTGAACATTAGATATAATTTCGCTGACTTCATTTACTTGAGTATTAAATAGATGATAATAAAATCGAGCAAAGATATGCTATTCACTGAATTCATAATATTTAAATGTTGAAAAAATACATGATGATGCTTACTTGTGATTTTATTTTATATATGTTTTTGTATATTGCATTCTCGGATAAAAGATGGGATCACTATACGATCTCACGCGAGATAATTGAAGAGTTTACTTCTGAACCATCTTATATTGATATTTTTTAAAAAGCATGGATTATACGTTGTAATACAAATAATCTCCACTTTTGAACGGCTCGGATATAAAGATGGTCTCGAGGCTGAGCTCTTTAATTAAAGACTCGTGTTTGTGTGCGTTCACGTCAATCACGTAATACCATCGGCTGACGTGGATTCGTTCGTGCGATCAGATGATGATGGGTAACGCGGCTGTTTCCTTTTTTTCCTCGTAGCGCGCGCGGATAAGTCCCGAGGTAGAAATCAGTGCGGATGCGCGGACCGATAAAGCGAGAGCGGAATGCTCGTTTTCACCAGGCTTCTACACCGAGAACTCGTAAGTAGATTTTTTTTTGGCAGCGACTTGAGCCCGTAATTTCGAGGTTCTCAGCTTTAAGATTAAATTTTTTTATGGAACATCATACTAAAATCATTTTTGCGTTGAATAATAGGACTGAAGAGACAAATATGTTCATGGATTATGCATGTATACTATTATTCGAACCTTATATATCCTTTTAAAAAAGTTGAAGCTAACATAAGAAATTAACTAATAATAATCGTAAAATTAAATATATACAGACAGAAATAAAAATTCTTTAGTCAATGGGTCAATTTCACTTCTTGTAAACCCTTTCGCAAAATAATTCTGTTATTGTTATAGAAGCGTGCCAAGTCAGCGTAGTATAACGGACAAGGAGAAGATCTTGCTTTCCGTCGGCGAAGCTATCGCGTCTTGGAAGAGGACAGGCGATTATGATGTCGAAGTCACGAAGTCCAACGAGTCGCATGTCCTCAGCGACGCGAGGTACATGTACGAGGTCCTGTCGAGGCAGGGACATCTGCTCACGTTTGTGTGCCAGAGTTTGGGCGGCAGGCTGTTCAAGACGTGGTCGACGGCGACCGGTAACGCCGGCGAGCTGCGCTACGTGAAGAATGTGCGAAGCGTGAGTCAGACGAATTTCCGGACATTCGGTCGCATCAGCGCGAAGAAGGAGTCCGCGAACACGGTGACGCTGGAGGGTAGCACGAGGCGGCGGGGCGTCTCGGCCGCCGACACGATCGAGCTGGACTTTCGCAATCTGAAACAGTACTCGGTGTTCTCCGGTCAGATCGTGGCGGTCGAGGCCATCAATCCGGTGGGCGACGCGTTGTACGTGAAGCAGATATTCGCCAAGTCGTACGCGCCGCCCGCGTTAACGCCGATGATCGAGTCGAGAGTCAACGTCTTCGTCGCGGCGGGCCCGTTCAACCCGTCCAACAGCACACTCTACGAACCGTTGTGGGACTTGATGGAGAGAGCCGCGTCGGACGAGCCGCAGCTCTTGATACTGGTTGGACCTTTTCTTGAGTACACGCATCCCCAGATACAGGACAGTCTCATTAGCCACACGCATCAGGAACTGTTCGAGAGGATTCTCACGAAAATAATGGACTTGGCACGGTATGTCTCACAGAATGCCTCGAATTCTCGAATTATAAGCGTTTGAGTACGAAGAATTTGTCTGTTTTTCGTGATTTTGTATGGACGGATAAAAGGAGATAATTTTACCTCCGTTAATCAGATATGTGATATTACAGGAAGAACACGCAGGTTGTGGTGGTAGCTTCCAATCGCGACGCGCATCACGAACCTATATTTCCAACCCCTCATTACGCAGTGTTTAATCGGAATTTGTTACAAAATTATTCGAACCTAAAGCTGATGCCAGATCCTTGTATATTGGATGTCGCGGGTTTGAAGATCGGGATCACATCGGTCGACGTTATTAAACACATCGGGAAAGAAGAAATATCGTAAGTACATATCCTTTTACACGGTCTAACGATTTCAAGAACAGTTGAATAGAATAGAGAGTTAAATTTTTTATTTAATAATATTTCAATTTAAAATAATACGTTGCTCTCTATTTTGTCTACAAAAGTTTTGTAACTTTTTTTTTACAAAAAGACGAATGTGTGTTTCAGCAATGTGTCAGGTGATAGACTCGGTCGTCTGGCTGATCATGTGCTCGCTCAAACGTGCTTCTATCCCGTGTATCCTCCGTCAGAGGACCTGAACGTGGACACGGAGTTGTGGGAGAAGCACGCGTTCTTCGACCAGCAACCGCACTTGATGATTTTACCGTCCGACATGCGATGTTACTGCAAAGTGATCAACGAGTGCATGATCGTGAATCCGGAACGCATGCACAAGCGCGTTTATGCCAGGTTGAGTGTGAAACCGACCGTTGGCGGTAAATGGAGTTCCAATAATATCTCATGCGAGATCGTCAAAGTCTGATAGCCTTTTAAAGTACGCTTGAAAACGGCACCTCAAACTAGTTCAAGGGGTTCGATGCAATAGTGGTCTCGCACACTTTTTTTTTAAGAAACGAAGAGAGGATTCTTTTAAAATTAAAAAAAAATTAAGATTCTTAATTTTTGTATTAAGTTTTATATTAAAAGTGTGTAGGTATTAAATCATTATTGTATCGAATTTTTACATTACTGACTAGAACGGATGACGTTTCTAGTCCGGATAATTTACAAGATATTTATGTACTTTAATCGCCAAATAGTAGAATATGTTTTATACGGATTAGAAGATCTAGATTTTTCCTTCTCTAATATTCCCTTTCTTTTTCCATTAAAATTTATAGTTGCATCCATTAAAAATGTTTTTTTTATACATATTTATAGCAAAAACATGATAATCAGAACGTAAGATGGAGCATTGAACGGAATAATTTTTAACGTGTATAAATTTTAATATGTCGCAATTTTGTGGTAAAAACAGACTTTCGAAATACCGACGGAAACTCGCTTCCGCGCTCTTCGTATCTCGCGTCTCACGCTCGATGGCGCCACGCGCCGATGCTGCTGCCCCCGCGATGCTCCGACGGAGAGTTTTCTGCCGCTGGTGGGCCATAAAATCGACCATTACTCCACAACATTTTTGTTACGAGGGTCCACTCAGCGGTTTGCAAATGGAGAGATCGCGGTCGAGCTGATGAGTCTTTCACGCGGTGAGTAAAACGTAACCACGCGGCACGGCTCGTGCGTGCGCGCGCGCGCGCTCATTTGCGTCTCGCATCGCGGATTCGTTCTGTCGCGACCGCCGCAATCTCGGGCGATTTTGCCGAAATTCGACGTCCGCCATCTTTATCGCCTGCTCCGCTTACGCTCCGCGCGTGTACACGCCGAGTCATTTTTTTTTCTCCCGATCGCCGACCGTTTCATCCCTTCCTCGCGGTTACGCCGTTCGAGGAATTACTCGCGGCCGTGCTGCACGAGGCGGCCTTGAGCCTCCTTCGCCCCGAAGTCGCTCCGCGACGAAGCCTCTCTCGCGTGCCTCTGCCCTGCGAATCGGATCTCGCGAATCGCGGCGTAGCTTCTCGGTGCTTCTTCTGCCCCTGACGAGACGTATGTATGTACGTCATCTCCCGACGCTCGACTCTCGGTGCTGCTCCGAATACGCTAAAAGATATTACTCTGTTCGGCGAGCATTTCCATAGCAACGATGCGTTACGAAACGTGCATTACGTGCGTCGTAAGGTCGTTGCATGGGCAAGTGCATCAGAGATTCATGGTTGGCGTATATCAGCTGGTACCCGCGCGAAATCGCGGTCCTGCGTCGAATCCGGACACGCAGTATCGACCGAGATGCGTCCGCGAGAATGTCTTTATTACCGACGGCTACCCCCTTCAATATGTTGCAATAATAACAATGCACGTTTATTTTTATTCCTGCATGTAAAGTGTAATTTTTACGATACATATTGAAAAACAAGTACTTCCTGTTCCCACGCTCTCCTATAATTTCTGCATGTCCGTCGAGACACACGACGTCTCTTGCGTCATTTAAATAAATATCAAAATTGCATATTTAAAAAAAACTTTAAATCAAACATTGTATGAATGTGGAGGCAGGGAGGAGGGGGGAATTAATTTTAAATAAAATTAGAGTTCAATGGAATTCAATAGGTCTGTTCTTGTCAGCAATGTCAGCTGAACTTCTTGCCCGGTTCATCTTTTTTCTTCACGTTGGAAAAAAAGATGAACGGTGCAGCAAGAAGAGAGTTCAACTGAAAAGAACAAGCCTAATGTTTATAACTCTTAACGTTTCTGTGCTGCAGCCATCACACGTTATGATTATGCGTTTAAAAGCGAAAATTGCATCTTTTTTCTGAGAGTGTTTTCACGATTTTTTTAAATCTTAAATTTCGCAGCATCTCAATGAGGTACAGACCTCGTTTGAGATCCGACAAGAGCAGCGGCAACACAACGCGCGGAATAAATCATATTGCAATAATCGACTCTTTTCGCTCCACATTCTCTCTCTCTCTCTCTCT